GACTTGTGTTGTGAGAATTCTTTGAGATAATTCAAAGTGCTTAGAATGTGCCTGGTGCATAGTAAGAACTCAGTAAGTGTTAATTGCTTTTATTTTTATTATTTCTCATGTTTTAAAAAAAAATTTTTTTTAGGTGAACCATTTTAAGGAAACCAAATGTATGTGTTTTTACAGATAGAGGTAAATTGCCAATTAGAATGTGCATCTAATTTAGAAATCCAGTAGCAGCTGAAGAAATCTTGATGGTTTTCTCACATTTTTTTTTTAAGATTATATTTTTAAGCAATCTCTACATCCAGTGTGGGGCTCGAACTTAAAACCCCAAGATCAAGAGCCACATGCTCTACTGACTGAGCCAACCAGACACCCTGGTTTTCTTACATGTTTAAAGGTCTAAATCTCTGTAGTTATTGGAATTTAGCAGTCCTAATAATTTAGAGATTTATCTCTTTAAAAGAATATCTGTGGGCGCCTGGGTGGCTCAGTTGGTTAAAGCAACTGCCTTCGGCTCAGGTCATGATCCTGGAGTCCCGGGATCGAGTCCCGCATCGGGCTCCCTGCTCAGCGAGGAGCCTGCTTCTCCCTCTGACCCTCCCCCCTCTCATGTACTCTCTCTCATTCTCACTCTCTCAAATAAATAAATAAATCTTTAAAAAATAAAAAATAAAAAATAAATTGTAAAAGAATATCTGTTGGTTGGACTACCTTGTTTCTCTTATTTCTGTTGGCTGTGTGATGGCAAGTCTGGCATATTCAATTGCAAAGCAGTGCCTAAAGGGCTTTATGAGATTAACAGCCGTGATGTTGTAATCTTTGAGCAAATCTATTGTAATTGCTTGTTTAATTGTCCATCTCCCTTGTTAGACTATAAAGTCAGCGAAGGCAGTGACATTCTTGCACACCATTGAATTTTTAGTGCCTAGAACAGTGCCTGGCACATGCTCCTATTCAGAATATTTGTTGAAGAATAGAGAGTGACTTCCCATTTGAAAACACATGGCAAGGGAGGGATTCTAAAAGATGCATCATGTATTGTAGTATTGAATTTCTGATTTTTGTTTGAAACCTGGTTTTGCAACAGTGCAAGTAATGGCATTCTCATGAATTTCATTTTCTCTCTTAATAGTAAACAAAGTGAAGGAAAGTTTTGTGGAAAAGGTCAGACTGCAGAATCATTACAACCTAGGTTTGAATCCAAGCTCTGTGTCAACAGCTTAAAGCTCTCCCAGCCTCAGTGTGCTCATCTCTTAAATAGGGATAGTTTCAAGTTAGGTATTGTGAGAATTAAATGAGGTGACATAAAAAATGGCACATAGAAGCTTCAACAAAAAGTTAGGTTCCTTTCTCCTTTTCTTCTCCTCATAGCACATAATTAAAAGTAATTCGGGGGCGCCTGGCTGACTCAGTCGGCAGAGAATGGGACTCTTGATCTCGGGGTTGTAAATTCAAGCTCTATGTTGGGTGTAGAGATTACTTAAAAATAAAATCTAAAAAAAAGGTAATTCAGCTTTTCTTTATTTCAAAGTAATCTGCATACTATAATGATATTTGGGTAAGAAATGGGAATAGTAGTAGGCAGGCTCCTATGGGAAACAGGTTGGTTAGACCAGAAATTGGGAAGCCAAAGGTAGTTATAGCATTTTTTCTGACTGGGAATGTGACTTGGGGTAAATCACCTAACCTCCCTGGCCTGAGTTTGTTTCTATTAAGTGATAGCCCCCAGTGACGAATAATATTTGAGAAAGCATCAAAAGCACTGTTTTCTACCCCGTTAAAAATAAGTTTCTAGAATGTCAACATTAGCAAGAATAACAAGATTGGCAACAAAAAGGTCTTTAAAACAACATGGAAACACTGTTGTTTGTCTTGGGCACCTGAGTCATCAGAGCTGCCCCCCACCCCCCTGCCGAATTTATAATTGTTAATTTGCATCGTTCGTTTTTCTGAAGCAAATCAGTACATTTAGAAATCCATATTTCGTGGAGCTACTTAACTAATTGCTGCAATCAGCAGCAATTTATTTTATAACAGGGCTGTTCAGATCACTCTCAGGTTGGCATACCGTGCAGTGTTTTTTATGATCCTAGTTTTAATGATGAGTTTTAATAGGGGAAAATGGTTAATCTGTTAGTATTCTCCTGAAAACCCTAACTTTAATCCTATATTTTCTCTTTACCCAAAGGTAACTTAAACGGCCATAGCAAAGTCATTGACCCAGTGGGTACACCAGCTGTTGGAGAGGCTGTCCCATTTAGAAGGACCTAGAGAGGAAAAGCATACCCTGTTTTCCCTCTTGTTTGGAGACCCTCATTAAATTACTCAGAAACAATCATCAGATAGCTGCTGTTCAAATTAATGGCACCTCTGAGTCCCTGTCAAGAGAGCTTTATTTAATGCGCAACAGACCTGGAGTGATGCAGGTGCTTTTTCGGGCCCTCATTTAATTTAAGCTGCTTTAGTTGGCATGGCAACTAGTTGAGACATCTGGGAGACATTATGCTGGGGATTGAGACTTCAGAGGATTTCTGCTGGAGCAAAGCAGAAACCTTATCATAAAGTGGTGTGTGTTGCTTCTAAATTTCTGAAGCTATAATATTGTTAAATCTTCAAATTCAGGAATTGTATTGTACAGAGAAATCAAGTTTTTAAAGGTTTGGCCTGTTTGTTGGCTTGTTTTCTGTGAAGAAAAAACCCTTTTATTTGTGGAGTGAAAAATGTATTTCCCCTGAAGAGTTTACTTTGTTAAACTAAAACTTGATAAAACTTAATTCTCTGCAGAATTGTCATTTTAATCACTTTATAAAAATAATACATTTAAAATCTTTCAGTCTTCTGTGTTTAAAATATTTTTTTTTTTTTAAGATTTTATTTATTTATTTGACAGAGACACAGCGAGAGAGGGAACACCAGCAGGGGGAGGGGGAGAAGGAGAAGCAGGCTCCCCGCAGAGCAGGGAGCCTGATGTGGGACTTGATCCCAGGACCCTGGGATCATGACCTGAGCCGAAGGCAGTTGCTTAACCGACTGAGCCACCCAGGCGCCCCTAAAATATTTTAGAGGAGGGACACCTGGGTGGCTCAGTCGGTTAAGCATCTGCCTTCGGCTCAGGTCATGATCCCAGAGTCCTGGGATCAAGTCCCACATCGGGCTCTTTGCTCAGTGTGAAGCCTGCTTCTCCCTCTGCCCCTCCCCCCCATGCCCTCCCTCTCTCTCTCTGTCTCTCTCTCTCTGACAAATAAATAAAATCTTTAAAAATAAATAAATAATAACTCAGTGTTAATAAATCAAAATAATTAAATACGGGGAAACAAATAAATAAATAATAAAATATTTTAGAGGAGAGGAAAGCCCCTCTGCACAGAGGTAATAAACAAAATGGTAAAGGTGGACAGGGGCTCTATGTGGTTTTGCCCTGGACTTTCTGGTTAATTTAAAAGTTTATCAACCTACCCCCATTCAATTTTTTTTTCATTTTTATTAAGTTTTTTATTTTAATTCCAATATAGGTAACATACCGTGCTATATTAGTTTCAGGTGTACAATATAGAGATTCAACAATTCTCTACATCACTCAGTGCTCTGTCTCATTCTCTTTTTAAGTCAGCTTATCATCTTCTTAAGCAGAGGTATGAAAGTCGCACTCTCCTTAAGTATTACAACAGGCAATTGAATAAAAGGTTTTTCAGACTCACAGATCCTGAGGACAGTGACATGATAATCTAGTCATTTGTGTTTAGCAGGGGGAATACCCGCTAGTTTATATTTTATGAGAAATTATACACATATGTATGTGGTCTTAGTAGAGAAGAATTGACTTTACCGTTTGAAATCATGCTTTATATTCAATACCTTGCTTTTCATTTTGATACCTGATATACTTTTCTCTGTGTTAGGGTTAAACCATATGAAATTGTTATTTTTGTTGGTCAGTAATGGTCCAGTATTGTCAGTTCAGATCCAATAGATTGAGGGTGAACAACACCCTGATCTGGAAATACATGTTTTGTAATGCTAAATGAAATGTACGAATTTTTTTCTGAAATGAATAATTTTTTAAAAATTTTATTTATTTATTTGACAGTGTGAGAGACAGTGAGAGAAGGAACACAAGCAGGGGGAGTGGGAGAGGGAGAAGCAGGCTTCCCGCCGAGCAGGGAACCCGATGCGGGGCTCAATCCCAGGACCCTGGGATCATGACCTGGGCCGAAGGCAGACACTTAACGACTGAGCCACCCAGGTGCCCCTGAAATGAATAATTATTTATAAAATAATCTGGTTGTAGAACCTTAACCATTCCAGCCGGACAATGTTTTCCTTTTCCCCTTTCTTTGAAAATGTAGTCTCTGTTAGAAGAAAGCATATGATATTATTTTATACTTTTCTCTGTTTATGGCTTCTGTGTCGTTTATTCCTTTTATAAGTCAAAGCAAGATTTTTCAAGTGCCAGCAATATGAATTCAACCCGATAACTTGAAAATTAAGATGTTTTCTCTCTGCTACTTGCATGCATACCAACTGTCACTACTAACAGTAAAGATTCTGGCATCACAACTTGGCTACCCATTTTGTAGATATGAAAGGTAGAATAGAATATAACCTGCTTTTCACTTCCATGCAAGAACTTTTCAATCCTTGCAGGAACAAAAAGTTATCAGACTCATCAGACATGACTGACAGCCCATACAGATAAGTGCATCATACTGTCTTTAGGAATTTTTTTTTTTCTGAGTAAAGTCTCAAGTTAACAACCCTTAATATGGTGATGGCAGTTGTAAAGTTTTTTTGTTTTTGTTGCTGTTGTTTATGTATAATGTTTCTGTTTTTGGTCCTTTGAGATTTTGGAACCAACTCAAAAATATTGGGACTTCTGATTAAGGCTTAATGGTACAAGTAGAAGTTTTTTCCTATCTCTATGATAAGATTTCCTAGTGGGGAAAAAGGTTTTAAGTATATACAAGAGGGAAATAGTAAGATTCGGATCTTCTTTTTCTATCCTGCAGAAGACTAAAGCTTTATTCCCTGGAGCTGAGTTATGGTGTCTTCGGCCCCTTCCCCAACTCATACAGAACCCTGGCAGCCTGGCCTGTGCCTTCTAAGACAGAAGTTTGGAAGACTTTTCTCCAGAGAAATGGATTAACCCAAGAGAAAGGATCTATACATAATTGAGGATCCCTCATGAAACAAAACTATAAAGCTCTAAGCCATCCCACAGAGCTACATTACAGTTCACAGTAATAACCTAAATGTCCAGTGTTAGGGATTGCTTAAGTCATGACATATTCCAAAAAATGGAATACTATTTAAGCACTTAAAATTATATAAAAGAATTATATACCATGGAAAGTGTTCACAAGTTATTTAAAATGAAAAAATAAATATATGTAATATGTTCTACTTCGACACCATAATTCCACTTACAGGAATGTATTAGAAAATAATCATTCACATAAAGATATGGATAGAGATATATGATGTTTATCTCAGGCTTATTTAAAGTAAAAAAAATTAGAAATAACTTGGATTTTCAACAATGATAGATTGGATAAATGAATTCTATTTGTACATTAGAACACTATATGGTCATAAGAATTCTGCTTTATTAGAATATTTAATAACAGGAGAAAATGCTTATATTTTATTAAGTTAAGAAAACAGGCAGCAACACCAGGTATATGTTATAATCCCAATTTCAAATACACACACGCGCGCGCACACACACACACGTACAACATTTTCACAAAGATGTTAATAGGTTCATTCACAGAGGTAGGATTCTGGGTAGTTTTTCTGTTCCTTGGCTTTTTTGTATTTCCCCAGTTTTCTACAGTGGAAGTTTTTTTTAACTTTTTTGGAAATTTTTCAAAAATACAGAAAAGTAGAGATAATCATGTAATAACTATCATTTACCCAATACCCAGATTCAACAATTATTCATCATTTTGCCAATCTCATTTCCTCTCTCCCTTTTTATTGAGCGCCAGAAAAAGAAGGCTGGAGTTATTTTAAAGTAGATCCCAAACATCAAATTATTTTACCTATAAATACTTAAATATGCATTTCTAACTGTTAAGGACTTTAAAAGCCTAACCATTATGTCATTTTCACACCTAATAAAATTAGCTAATTTCTTAATATTCCCTGATTTCCTCAAAGATCTCTTTTTTAATCAGGTTTGTTTGAATCAGGTTCTAAACAAAGTCCATATATTGCGTTTGGTTATTACATCTCTTTAGACTCTCTTATCCCGAACATTCCTACCTTCCCTTACCCTCACATACCCACCCTCCCCTTTTTTTTGGTCATTTATTTGTTGGGGAATTTTTCCTGAAGAATGATCCACACTGTGTTTGATCCACATTGTGTGTTTACTGATTGCTTCTTCATGGTGTCTCTTGTTCTTTTATTCCCCATATTTCTAGTAAACTGGTAATTGGAGCTAGAGGATTGATTATATTGAGGTTTGTTTTTTTTGTTTTTTGAGAGAGGCTGCAGGGGGCAGAAGAGAGAGAGTCTTAAGCAGGTTCCATGTCCAGCACAGAGCCCAACACCGGCTCAACATGGGACCTGATCTCACAATCCTGAGATCATGACCCAAGCCAAAATCCAGAGTCGGACGCCTAACTGACTGAGCCACCCAGGCACCCCTATATTGAGTTTTTTTAAAGACACGAATACTTTTTTGGGCAGTGGTGTGAATATCACATAGACATAATATCGCACATTAAATGTTGCTAGGGTTGAGTGGTGGATTGAGGTGATGCTTATCAGTCTCATCCCTTTCAAATGGTTTTAGCAGCCATTGATAATTGGTGCCTGTATCCATGATGTCATAGAGGTTGAAAAATGGCAATTTTTTTTTTACTCACGTAGCATTGCTTTTGCATTGATTAGCTGAAAGTCTTCTATAAGAAACAGTGAACATATAGTATATTTTATTACAGTTTTTAAAATTATAACTCAAAAAAAGGAAAATAAAATCCAGCCATTGAAACAATCTTAAACACAGTCAAGTCCAACTTTACTACTGTGTAAACCTTAGGTTACTTGCCTTCTGTTAGCCTCAATTTCCTCATCTATAATTGGGAATACCACCACCTCCCTTGTAGGATTGCCATGAAAATTAGATGAGATGATATATTTAAGATATTTAGTAGAGTGCTGGTGTACCTAGTTACCCATACATATATATGTGTGTGTGTGTGTGTGTATATATGTATATATATATAATTTCATTCACCCAACAGATGTTTATAGGAGACATAACTGTATGTAGGCATTTGTTTCTGAGAATTTGGGATAGACTTGTGAACAAAACAGACAAAAACCCTTGCCCTCATGGGGCAGGGTTGGGGAGACAGATAAACAATAAACATAATAAGTAAATTATGTAGGGTAAGTACTAAAGGAAGAAAAAGTAGAGCTGTGCAAGTGGGTAGCTATTGTATAAGGCATGCAAGATGCAGTATTAAATGGTCAAGGTAGGCCTCATTCAAAAGATGATTTGAACAATAACACAAAGGAGGTGAAAGCCATGGTGTCTGGGGAAGCCCATTCCAGGCGGAGGGAACAACTAGAGCAAAGGCCTAAGGTCAGAGTGTGTCTAGTATGTTTAGAGAATAGCAAAAATGGTAGGAGAGAAGGTCAGAGAAGTAAGGAGGACAGATCATTTATGGCCATGTTAAGGACATTTTAAGGACTTTGGCTTTGACTCTAAATGAAATGGGAAACTTTTGCAGAAGAGTGACAATCAAAAAAATGTCCTGTGAAATGCAGCCAAAAAAATAAGATGAATTGATGAATGGAAAGAGCCATGGATAAACATATACTAAAGCAAATATGGCAAAATGTTAAGTGTAGAATCTAGGGGGTGGATGTATATATATGTGTGTGATCACTGTTTAATTCTTTCAAGTTTTCCATGTGTTTAAAAATATCTGTAAGAAAAAAATTTAAGCTATTAAGAAAAAAACCTAAATCTAACCCTGGTAATAATATCGTAATTTAACTGATATGTATTGTTTTATAGGACGATTCTAACATGTCACCGAAAACTCTCCTTAGGAAATTCTACATGAGAAATCTTATTTCCTCACTAACCTTCATTATGGAATAGAATGTAATTCTTTGGAAAGAATCTGATTAATAAAACCTAAAATAAAAGTAACCTAAGAATATAAAAACATTAAAAATTACATTTTCTGTATAGTAAAGTCACTGTCAATATTTAGACAAAATAGAAATATAAGAGTCAAAATTTATTCTGGCTGCTGTGTTTTAGAAATCTAAAGGTCTCATGGGCGCCTGGGTGGCTCAGTTGGTTAAGCGACTGCCTTCGGCTCAGGTCATGATCCTGGAGTCCCTTGATCAAGTCCCGCATCGGGCTCCCTGCTCGGCAGGGAGCCTGCTTCTGCCTCTGACCCTCCCCCCTCTCATGTGCGCTCTCTCTCTCATTCTCTCTGTCTCAAATAAATAAATAAAATCTTAAAAAAAAAAAAATTAAAAATAAATAAATTAGAAATCTAAAGGTCTTGGGCCAAGGGAGGTAACAGTGGACATGTTAAGAAGTAGTCTAATTCTGTGGCTAGATTTTGAAAGAACCAACAGGATTCCCTGATGGATTGGAGGTAGAGTAAGAGAAAAAAGCAATCTGGGATGTCTCCAAGGTTTGTGGCTTGTGGTATGAGCAGCTTGCTGGAAAAATAGGTTTGTTATAGCAAAGCCTACAACTAGAATAATTTGGTGGGGGGAAAATGGAGAATACACGTTTGGACAGTTTTGGACAGTTTGAGATGTCAGACATCTAGAGGAGATGATGAGTAGACAGTTTGATAAACAAGGCTGGGCTTAAGGAAACAAGATTAACTAGAGATATAAAATTGGGAGTCATTTGCATGTATATTGTTTAAAGTCTTGGGATTGGATCCAATTACCCAAGAAAGTGAGTGTGGAAAGACAAGAGGACCAAACCCTGGGGCATTTCAACATTAGTGGTTGGAGAAGGGAAACAACAAAGGAGGATTGAGAAGGAACAACCAATGAGAGAAAAGCCAACAGTTGGGTGTTCTAGAAGCCATTTGAAGAAAATGTCTCAAGGAGGGCGTTTTGACTGTGTGTCAGGTGTTATCAGTTATTAATTCTCCTCCCTACTTTCAACTTTTACTACCTGTTTTTGATTTTTAAAATGTTAAATTAGAAGGGTTTTTAAATCACTCTCCCCAGATAATGACCACTTACTACAAGAGTCTTTAAAGCTCATAAAAGTAAAATCCAAAGCCTAACAACACTTTTTAAAAATTTGAGTTTTGAAAGCAGACTCCTCATCTTTATTTTTATATGCCTAGCATTTACCCTTACAGCAAGCATGTAAATGCTAAAACAGGAGTCCTGGGACCGTCTTAGTTCATTTATAGTTCATGCCAAGCACCCTAAGACTACAGCTGCCCCTTAAGATTGTCTATCTTCTAGGACTAGCTGTGGGACAATACTGATACAAGAAGTGTTTCACAGGCTGTCGGGTGGGTTGTCCTTCCAAAGATTCCATAATATTGCTCTGCAAGAAGAAAGTTAGGATCTGAAGAACTAAGAAAGCGGAACAACTGCAGCCCAGTAACAGCTCTGCTTTGTTGCTGTTTTGCCTTTCCCTGCTTTGAGTTGTACAGGGCTGGGGGAGCTTTAGTGTTCCAACTCAGAACATGAAATTGACTTTCACAAGGTGTCCAAAGAATTTGAAACCTAATAGGAATCTCCTGAAATCAAGGGTAGTCTCCCCTTGTCTTAAGGAAGGTTAAAAAATTTAAATCATAAAATTTACCCATACTTGTAATGAGTCCTTAACTGCACAGGGTAAGACATGAATTTGTCCTATTTTAGATAAAACAAAAGAGTTACTTTCATAAGAGTTCTGAATTCCACATCTTCATTGCTCCCCAGGCTCCAGCCTTTGATTATCTGACATGTGTTGTTTGAACAAAACCCTGAGAGTATAAAAGTACAAAACATAGGAAGCTTAAAACTTAATAAAGGAGCCATAAATGTAAAAAAAAAAAAGTTAAATACTAAAAGAATTAAGATTGTAGATAGACTTGGATTTGAACTAATCATTTTACGCATTTCTAGGAATACTATTCTTCACAAAGCAACTTATGCCACAGTTGATGGGTAGGTTGTCATCCTTTCCATTGGTGCCATGGTGGCCTAGGGTGAGACCCCCAATCCTCTCTTGTTTGGATTCAGAGGATGCTCCAGTAACATGTCTGAATAGATCCTGAGACTGTTTGGTCTTCACATTCTTCCTGGCCTGGCTGTCATTTAAAGTGTTTATCCTTGGGGGGCCTGGGTGGCTCAGTCGGCTAAGCGTCTGCCTTCGGCTCAGGTCATGATCTCAGGGTCTTGGGATCGAGCCCCGCGTCGGGCTCCCTGCTCAGCTGGGAGCCTGCTTCTCCCTCTCCCTCTGCTGCTCCCCCTGCTTGTGCTCTCTTGCTCACGCACGCTCTCTAATAAAATCTTTTAAAAAATAAAATGTTTATTATTTTTGAGAAGATATTTGCCAATGACATACCCAATAAAGGGTTAGTATACAATATATATAAAAAACTATGCAACTGAACATCCAAAAAAAATAATTAAAAATGGGCAGAAGACATACAGATGGTCAACAGACACATGAAAAGATTCTCAACATCTCTTGTCATCAGGGAAATGCATATCAAAACTACAATGAGATGTCACCTCATACCTATCAGAATGGCTAAAATTAACAACATAAGAAACAACAGGTGTTGGTGGATGTGGAGAGAAAGGAGCCCTGGTGCGCTGTTGGTGGGAACGCAAACTGGTGTAGCCACTGCGGAAAACAGTATGGAGGTTCCTCAAAAAAATAAATAAATAAATAAAATACCTTAGGATCCAGTAATCTCACTACTGGGTATTTACCCCCAAAATACAAAAACACTAATTCAAAGAGATATATGCACCCCTATGTTTATTGCAGCATTATTTACAGTAGCCAAATGATGGAAGCAACCCAAGTGTCCATCGATAGATGAATGGATAAAGAATATGTGGTATATAGATACACAATGGAATATAAAAAAGAATGAAATCTTGCCATTTGCAACAACCATGGATGGATCTAGAGGGTATAATGCTAAACAAAATAAGTCAGTTGGAGAAAGACAAACACCATATGATTTCACTCGTGTGGAATGTAAGAAACAAAACGAACAAAGGAAAAAAAACCAGACTCTTAACTACAGAAAAAAATTACCAGAGAGAAAGTGATTGGGGGGATGGGTGAAATAGGTGAAGGGGATTAAGAGTGCATTTATCATGATGAGCACTGAGTACTGTATAGAATTGTTGAATCACTATATTGTACACCTGAAACTAATAGAACTCTGTATGTTAACTACATTTGAATTAACTTCAAAAATGTTTATCCTTATTTTTCTTTTGTAATGCTAATTATAGAGACAGTTTATTTCTGCTAACTTCTAAATGGTAAATTCTTTAATTTTGGCAATTTTTTTTATCTTGTGAGGGCTGGAATTTTTACCTCTGTAATGCTGTCTAGAAGCTTTCTTTCCCTAAGCTTTTCCCAGCTTTAAGAATGGAAGTTATTCTTTAGACCTAGTGCCTACTTTGAGGGGATTGGGGGCTGAATTCTTGGAATTCTCCTTAACTTAAAACCTCAAGATATGTTGTCACAGAATTGATGCAGAGTGACCTACATAAAATTATCGTCTCTCCTCAACCACTCAGCTCAGATCATGTCAAAGTTTTTCTTTATCAGATTTTGCGAGGTAAGATTTTCTTTTTGAAGAAAAAGGTAGTGGCACTGTATAAGTGAAATGTTTTGCTTTTCATTTGAATTTTAATCTGACCTTCCAAGGCTTTTTTCTTCCCTAAAGACTTTTTTCTTTTGACCAAGGTATATTTAATAATCTCTACACTTGATGTTAAGAGGCTTTTAAGGGTGGCCAAATGGTTCTTACTTTCACTGATGGAAGAGAAAGCCCTAATTCATTACTCAGTTAAGTAGGTTAATTTAGGGAGGTATATAAGCAGGATGGTTTGTGGAACCCTGTGGTCTGTCACAAAGTTTCCTTTAAACAGCCTTTAGTAGGAGTATGTGGCTGGCATCAGGTGACTCAATTGAAAGGTAACTATGTTCCTTATGGATGACATTTATTCTTCAAGTGTGGTCCAAGTGTTGGCTGGTATACCTGAATCCAACTCTAGAAAAACAAGACTCTTAAAGCCAAAGCATCAAGGAGGCTGAGAAACAGCAATATAATTCTCCAGACCGGCTCATTAAAGAGCACCGACTTGATAGGCAGTTTGAACCGACATTGCTAGAGCTTCTTCTGGCCACCAGGTATATCCTCTGGAATTTTGCTGTTACAAATGGGAGAATCGTTTAAAGCTGATACAGCTTTCTTACCTAGTAAAACACTCTTCTCCCTCCGCTCCCACACCAGGATTCATAGATTCAGGTATTCTTTATGGAGATTAAAAAGCATCTACCAAGAGAATGAAAACACACACAAGGCGTTAAAACTAGGATGTTCACCTTCCATAGGTGTGTTGATATTCTGTGGCAGGGGACAGAAGGAAGATAGTAGATATTGGGTCTTTTTTTACACTTATAAAAAAATGTATGATTTGCTGTGTTTTATTCAAAAGACTCAGCCTTGAAACTGTGACCTTTTTCTAACAGTGCTAAAACTCAGTCTTTTAATATGTGTCAAAAATATTTTAAAGTAATTAACTACCCCTCTTGAATCTCAGTGGTGGGGAATACTACTGACAAACCTGGGCAGGTTACTGAATTTTGTCTTATCAGTGAAAATCTGCCCTGGGAAGGGCTCCCTGGGGGGTAATGAGGATTTGTTGGAGCTGGCTCAGAATCACAGGTTGAGAGTACCAAGAGCAGAGCTCCAGTAGCCACCCACACTTAGGAACAATTCAAGGATATTGGTATGGTCAACTTTAATTCCAGCGCCTGAAAAGCTTATCTATATTTAAACCTAACTCATCTTTTGAATTATAGGCATTATCTGTAGATTGTGCAACCTTTGATGACGCTTTATTTTACAAAATTACAGTTTTTTGAGGTAGGACTAAGTCAAGCTTTTAATAACGTTTATTATGCCATTATTTAGAGAACAATCTTAAATCCTGTATTCTCTGTTACCGTGGTTTTCCCCAAATCATTGGTTGAGTGAAAAGAATTAAATATCTGCAATTAAATCCGTTTGTTATTTCAGGTTTGAAATATCTCCATTCAGCTGGCATTTTACATCGAGACATTAAGCCAGGGAATCTCCTTGTGAACAGCAACTGTGTTCTAAAGGTAGCTTTTCAGTTTCTTTAAATATCTGAGAAAAATTTAGAATGCCAAGGCATGTTTAAGAACAGTGTGTTTTTGTGAAAGAGTTAAATTTATTTTTATCACTTTACCAAATAATTAAAGAACCGAGTTTTCTCTAGCAGTATCACTAGTCATGGCCATAGTAACTGATTTGTCATCTTGACTCATGGTTTCTTCATGATAGTTTGTATATGTTTTGGAAACACTGAAATTGGAATTACAATGTGACCAGAAAGAAAATAGAGAAGGTAATTTCTTTTTAGATTGTTCCAATGCTAAAGGAAGTATATATCAAAAGAAATATTGCAAGACTAGTAAGTTATTTATATGAGAATGAAGTATGGCTTTCAAGAAGACTGTGTTTTTGCACAGCTAACATTTCTATGCCCTGTGTGACTGAAGTAGCCAAGTAAAGAAGTGGAAACACTTAAAAGTGAAAATACTAGGGGCGCTTGGGTGGCTCAGATGGTTAAATATCTGCCTTTGGTTCAGGCCATGATCCGGGAGTCCTGGGATCAAGCCCCATGTGGGGCTCCCTGCTCAGCAGGGAGTCTGCTTCTCCCTCTGCCCCCTCACCCTGTTCATGCTCTCTCTCTCTCAAATAAATAAAATCTTTTTAAAAAAAAGATAAAAATACTAAGCCAGAAAAGGGTCAAATATATTTGACAATATATAGTAGCCAATCCTGCTACTCCCTCTGAAGGGGAATTGATTACAGGATTTAATTGTAGTTAGTAGCCCCAAAATTTCAAGCCATCAATTTCAATTTTACTTTCCCCCAGTATCTCCACCTACCCCCCATCCGTTGTTTCTTGTTAGAGTGGCTCACAAATCGCAAAATCCACATATATGCATTTCCCTGCCTCTAATAGATGTATTAATGGAACTCCTAGTGAGAGGCCTACCATATTTTCCCCACCATAGAAATTAGAGATAAGGGCCTTCCTAGAGCTGTGTGATCTCTGTGTAAGCAAATTTAAATTCTATTTATTTTATGAGTGGCTACAGTATTAATGGTGCTTCAGTCTGCAGTAAATATTCTTAACATTCCAACTGATATATTTGAAAAAGAAAACTTTTTTTGTTTGTAGTTTCAATAAATAAAGTTTATTTATATTTAAGTTTAAATAAATAAAGATTTATTTATTTGGAAGAAAGAGTGTGCACAGTGGTGAGGGGCAGAGGGAGAGGGAGAGAGAGTTCCAAGCGGACTCCAGGCTGAGCACAGAGCACAACGCAGGGCTTGACCTCACGACACTGAGATCATGACCTAAACCGAAACCAAGAGTCAGATGCTTAACCGACTGTGCCACCAGGCACCCCAAGAAAACTGGTTTTTAGATGTTGCCTGCTTTATAAGTTATCAAGCTGTCATTGTTACTTAGTTTGATGGCAGTTAAACTAAATATTAAAAGCAAGTATATAAATGAATATCATTTTGTATTTTAAATGCTTTCTTTAAATTCTGGCCAATTTTCTTTAAAAGCTGGTATGTTATACTGTGAAAAAAAATCACCCTTCCTTATAGCCTTGAAGAACTGTTCCTGATTTAACTCTAGAAAGATTTTTTTTTTTAAACTATCTTTCAGGGGCTCCTGGGTGGCTCAGTCGGTTAAACATCTGCCTTCAGTTCAGGTCACAATCCCGGGGGTCCTGGGATAGAGTCCCTCATCTGGCTCCCTGCTCAGTGGGGAGTGTGCTTCTCCCTCTCCGCCCCCCTCCACTCATGTTCTCTCTCTCTCTCTCTCTCTCTCTCTCAAATAATATCTTTAAAAAAAAAAAACTATCTTTCATATTTTCCCTGAAAACAACTAATGTTGTAGTTCAGTCTCTTTCACAGAGAAATTAATTGTTCCCAGTGTCCACTAAAGTAAATATTCCTTCTATAGGTCATTGAGTTCATTTCCCTGCTACCTTTCCACTTTTTAAAGAGCTGCAGCCTAGGGGCGCCTGGGTGGCTCAGTTGGTTAAGCGACTGCCTTCGGCTCAGGTCATGATCCTGGAGTCCCTGGATTGAGTCCCGCATCGGGCTCCCTGCTCGGCAGGGAGTCTGCTTCTCCCTCTGACCCTCCTCCCTCTCATGCTCTCTGTCTCTCATTCTCTCTGTCTCAAATAAATAAATAAAATCTTAAAAAAAAAAAAAAAAGAGCTGCAGCCTATCCCCATAACTCTAATTTTAATTAAAAAAAAATTTTTTTAAACCTTGAGTATTCTTTATTCTGTTCAGACCAAATCAGTTTTATGACGATTTAAAAATGCCAGTTTCTTCTTATTTTGGTTTCTGGCTGGAGAACTTCCCAAAGCATTTTGTTTAGAACCTGCCTTGCTTGGTGCCACTACCTGCTTGAGGTCCATTTTTCAAATTATCTGTTATGGTATTATAACTTCTAGCTACACAAACAAATAACTAGAAGAAAATGTCATTTATGAATAAACAACACAAAGATCAGGATAAATTGAAATTGTGCCCCACTCCTTTGACTTGTCTTAGCAGCCTACTTTTAAGACCCAGAATGGAGTGCCAAGCTACGGACACTAATTCTCTCTTCTCAAGTGTACAGATTCATCAAAAATAATATGATAAAACATTTCTTTTAAATTAGTATCCTTTCGGGCGCCTGGGTGGCTCAGTTGGTTAAGCGACTGCCTTCGGCTCAGGTCATGATCCTGGAGTCCCGGGATCGAGTCCCACATCGGGCTCCCTGCTCAACAGGGAGTCTGCTTCTCCCTCTGACCCTCCTCCCTCTCGTGCTCTCTCTCATTCTCTCTCTCGCAAAAAAAAAAAAAAAAAAAAAAATTAGTATCCTTTCATATTCTGAATATATTTTGTTTCCTATTAAGCACAAAATGGATAATTTTGTTGGAAATCTCATTATCTTTTTGGTTGTCTGATCATATAAGCTTCTTACTTTGGGTTTAGCTTGTCTTCCAGATAAGTTGCCCAAAATGACTCCAGACAGACTAGTGTTTTTAACAGAGGATTTGCTTTATAACAGAAAACATTTTCTGTCTGGTGGGTGGTTGGTGGTGGTGGTGGTTGTTGTTGTTGTTTTTCTATAAATCCAAGAAAGATATAGGAAAATGGATTTAAGTTCTTTGGTTTTGTTTTGTTTTAAAAGATATACTAAAACGTCACGGCCAAGGAAGAGAGTTTTAAAATATTATGTGTTATTTGAACACTAGCCTTTGGGAGAATTTGATAAGCAGTTTATAGGCTTTTGGGGTGTTTTTTTTTTCCTTTTTGGTATGGTTTTCAAACATTTTTTTAAGCTGCCAAGACCCTTTTTTTCAAATAAAATCTTATGCTGCAACCTCAACTTAGAAAACAGTGTTAGTTCATCACTTATAATATTGACTCATGAAGTTAATCAGTGAAAATGCTGGAGCTTGGAAGGCCCTTACTCTCTTATCTTAACCTCAGTGCTCCCTCCCACTTTTTGTTTTGGTGGCCCAGTATTAAGAAAATTTTCTTAATATGAGAAATTCCTGAAAATAAACAGAAGTTGCTGGTGGTGGCACTGCTGCTGTCTACTAACAGCTCACCTTGTAACCTCAGCATACTTTTCAGTTAAACAGAAATAACAAGAAAAGATTTATTCCTAGGTCTGCATATAAATTAACCACTTTCTCATTTACTGTTGTGTTACGGGGTTCTAGCATACTTTCCAAATGATGAGAGGCATTCATTTAAATATTTACAGCACAGAGAAATGAGTGCAACTAGTAGCATTGGTATCCTACAGTGTGCTACATTTTGACATACATATTCGAGTGTGAATAGTATTTTAAATAGATAAGTACATGGGGAGTTTAGGACGCAGTTTGAAACCCATAGATCTAAAGAAATTTTACTATGTGTATGCCATAAAGACAATGAACATAGCTCAGGAGGTCTTCAAGATAGGCACTTTTTTTTTGTACAATTCCTTGATAAGCCTTGAAAATACATAGTCTGGTTTGTACATTAAACCTAGAAATATGCATTGAGCTGTCTTTTTGGTTTAGTTATCAGTTGAAAAGATGAGTGAGAAGAATTTTTTTTTAAGATTTTTTTTTTTTTTAATTTATTTGGCAAAGAGAGAGAGAGCGCGCGCACAAGCAGGGAGAGTGGCAGGCAGAGGGAGAAGCAGGCTCCCTGCTGAGCAGAGAGCCGGATGCGGGACTCGATCCCAGGACCCTGGGATCATAACCTGAGCCAAAGGCAGATGCTTAACCGACTGAGCCACCCCGGCGCCCGAGAAGAATATTTTTAAGATTCATCATTTTATATAGAAATAAGGAATTTTGAGACTTTTTTCCTCTTATGCAAATAAGATCAAATTATATATTGACACAAATACACTCTACCTATATCATTCGAAACTTTTCAAAGCTCAGAGATCTATCAAGATTTTGATTTTTTGCTTATTTTGTTTTACTTTACCATTTGTAAATATATTTGTCTCTTTAACAATATTTTTATAATCTTTTCTATTTAGATTTGTGATTTTGGATTGGCCAGAGTGGAGGAATTAGATGAATCCCGTCATATGACTCAGGAAGTTGTCACTCAGTATTATCGGGCTCCGGAAATCCTGATGGGCAGTCGTCATTACAGCAATGCTATTGACATCTGGTCTGTCGGATGTATCTTTGCAGAACTACTAGGACGAAGAATACTGTTTCAGGCACAAAGTCCAATTCAGCAGGTATGATTTTACTTTAGGCTTTAGTAGCTTTCAGTTCTATTACAGATTTAAAGGAAAAACCGTCTTGCACACATGTGTGGGGCTTATTCATTGTACTGTCTAAGTTGCTTTTAGCAAATTGAGGTTCATTTAAAATTCAGAAAGTCAGGAAGTTGAAGATTACAGAGAGATTCATTTTGTAACTTATGAACCTATTAGAGGGAGCGTTGACTTTATTACATGCACTGATGCATAGCAGCAGACCCTGCTGTAACAGTTTGCACAGGTGTAATCTTCCACTGTTAGAGGGCCTCTATTCTTTCTGACTGAATGGGTCAGACTTGAAAATGCATTTGATGCCTTAATGTACTTACACTTTGTGCTTAGAATATAAATTTTGAGTGTTGATTTCCTTAAATGTGAACATTTAAGAACATTTCGAACCTTTATTTTTGGGCTAACATGTTTAAATATGGCAGAGAACATTAGGAGCTTATTAAAATGTAGCTTTAGGAAACCGTTGGTGATACTTTATCTGCCCTAAGAGCTAATTCATTACCCCACATATTTTCTTGAGATAATTCTTAAGTATTGTTTTGTCCTTAACAATAGTGTTTGCATGAGAATAATGTATCAATGATGTGCTCAGCCTGTAAAATCAAATTGGGGGGTTCAAATCCTAGCTCTGCCACTTACTATCTATTAATTCTTAGGCAAACTAAACCATTCTGAGGATTGTTGTGCAAATTAAAAGAAATAATAAAGCTGAAAATGAGGCCTGGCACATAGTAAGCACTCAGCAAATATTAGCGACTGTTATAGTAGTTATATGCCAGGATGTTAGGATTGCAGTGGTAAATAAGAAAAAGTTAGTTCCTGCCTTTGTGCAACTTTCACATGAGACAAAATAAATAAGTACACAAATAAATATAATGTAAGTAAGCTAAGTAATGATAAATTCTGTGGAGAAAAATTGAACCAGGTTAGGGATAGGGAATTATGATAGAGCAGAGCAGTGCTAAAGGGTTCTCTGAGAAAATGACATTCGAGGCATGACTCAAGTGAAATGAGGGAGCGAGATACTGAGCGTGTTTCAGGAAAAGGACAACCAACATAATTAAGCCTCTGAGGCAAGAACAAGTGTGGCCTGTTGGAGGGATGGCATGATCAAGGGGGAAGATTGTAGGAGACAGGTCAGAGAGAGAGAGAGCCTGACTGTGGTGACTGGATAAGGACTTTGGATTTTACTCTGTCCAAACTGTAATGGAAAGCTATATGAAGGTTTTGAGCAAGGGAGTGTTAAGATTTGATTGATCACATTTTAAAAGATCACCCTGACTACTGTGTATCTTTGTAAATAATTCATACACTTGGCCCAAAATGGAATAATTTCTTTTATACTCTTCTACAAAGAATTAACTGATACATTTGAAACTATATATGCTATGATCAGCATTTGAAATTATTTCTCTGCTATACTTTCAAAGTCTATTTTTACCAAGTTTACATCTTAAAAATTGATCCTAGTGATAAAAAATTATCATATATAATTTTAATGCTGGGTACTACTGATAATACCCACTTTACTATTCAATTTCTTTAGAAAGTAGATTTTAATGGACCTACCTGTAAGACCTATCATATCTAGACATAAGAAACTGCCATACAGAAAAGCTTAAATAAAAGTTAAGGGGTTGTTTGAGACACCTGGGTGGCCCAGTCAGTTGAGCATCCGACTTGATTTCGGCTCAGGTTATGATCTCAGGGTTGTGGGATCAGCCCCACATCGGTCTTTACACACTTATCGGGGAGTCTGTTTAAGATTCTCCCTCTCCCTCTGCCCCTCCCACCCTGTGTGTGTGTGGGGGGGGTGGTGCACGCACGTGCGTGCGCATGCATGCTCTCTCTCTTTCTCTAAGAAATAGATCTTTAAAAAAAAAAAAAACGGGGTTGTTCAAATCCCATATATTGAACAAGGATCTTGGATTGCTGCTGAAAAGAACTGTGTGTGTGTGTGTGTGTAAAGTGTGAAGCAACTGGCGTAGGCAGGATTCAGATACCTGATTATCTAGAGAAATGCATAGGTCTTGAGTTTGCCAGTCTGATGTAGCCACTGACAGAGAACTCACATCTATCTATCATCAGTGTATTTTAGGATGAGAAATCAAGATCTAAAATGGGAAAAGATCTAACTTCTAAATGCAAGTAGTTATTTTCTGTAGCATATTCTCTGTATCTTTGAGAAGTAAAAACCCTAGCAGACTTCATAAAAATGTTTCTCACCCATGGATCTTACCCATTTTAGACAACTTTCTGAATGTTTCCATTGGTTTTCATGAGCCAGTCATTTTCTTCTACCTTTACAGTAGTTGTTAGAGGTCCAAAAGTATCACCGACATACTTTTCCCAAAAAGCTTTGTATAGAGATCTTCTATGGAATACAAGCTACTTGACCATCTCCATTATCCTGGAGGGCAGTGATCCTTATCTAAACTTGATAGTTTTCTTTTTTTTTTAAAGATTTTATTTATTTATTTGACAGAGTGCGTGAGCAGGGAGGAGGAGCAAGGGGAGAGGGAGAAGCAGCTCCCCACTGAGCAGGGAGCCCAATGTGACTCGATCCCAGGACCCTGGGATCATGACCTGAGCTGAGGGCAGACACTTAACCAACTGAGCCACCCAGGCGCCCTAAACTTCATATTTTTGATAAGTGCAGAAAGTAGTGCTTTATATCTGGCAATCCCAGTACAAGGAAAAGAAGTATTCTGTAGGTAAGAATTTTCCATCCTGGAGGGATCTGAATGATATGTTATTGCTAATTAGGTTATGCAGTTAGAACAGTTTTTGCACTACAGAAGATTGTAAAGGTGGTTTCCTACCTACCAAGACTTGTGAGAAGACCATTTTCTATCGTGCTCAGCTGATTACATGTGGTCTTATGCAGTGTCATAGTTTTCTTTCTTTTTTTTTTTTGCAGTAATTTTTTTTTAATTTTTTTTTATCCTTATGTTAATCCCCATACATTACATCATTAGTTTTAGATGTAGTGTTCCATGATTCATTGTTTGTGCATAACACCCAGTGCTCCATGCAGAATGGGCCCTCCTCAATACCCACCACCAGGCCAACCCATCCTCCCACCCCCCTCCCCTCTAGAGCCCTGTTTGTTTTTCAGAGTCCATCGTCTCTCATGGTTCGTCTACCCCTCCGATTTCCCCCGCTTCATTCTTCCCCTCCTGCTACCTTCTTCTTTTTTTTTTTTTCTTAACATATATTGCATTATTTGTTTCAGAGGTACAGATCTGAGATTCAACAGTCTTGCACAATTTACCAGTGTCATAGTTTTCTAAGAACCACCGTTTTCTGCTAGTGTAAGAGATTTCTAGCATAACTAGAACGAGATGTTGTGTACAGGCCCAAACATCAATAGCTTAGCTTTCATTTCAGATGTGAATATTCTCAGTATTTACTGAGTCACAGCTGCCTGATTTATGGATTAGCTCCTTGATGAGCCTGAATCCATTTGAAGCATCAGAATCCATTCATTCACTATTTGAAAAGAAGAGTCATTAGCCATGAGCAAAAGAGCAGTTCACCTCTGCAAGGGTCATAGATACTGTCTTATCAAGACCCAGGGCAGGTACATGCAGACTCCTAAGTTACTATAGCCTTAGAATACCCTGCTTGCCAAAATGTATTTTATTTCTGTCATATGGGTTCCTAATAAAAACATTTTCCTGGCTTTTTTAATAGTCCAAAAGTGAAAGTAGGGGCTCCTATTGGTTAATCTGGAACTTACCTTAAGAGCTTGTTTTTCCCCCCACATTTGGTCCTCATCTCTAAGGGCAGTGATTTAAGAGTAATGGAAAGTTGTTTCCATGAGCTCTTACTATCTGTCTGTATTTCATATTTCCTTGCAGCTGGATTTGATCACGGATCTTTTGGGCACACCATCGCTGGAAGCAATGAGGACGGCTTGTGAAGGCGCTAAGGCGCACATACTCAGGGGCCCTCATAAACAGGTAAATGGGAGGGTGGGGCCTGTAGTTTGTAACCACCTGGACAGGACTTCTCTTCCAACAGAATAATGACTTGAGACTTTTTAAACAAAAACATGACTTACATGTTTTATTTAGTCTTTATTTCACAGTCATAAATAAGAAAATGTTAAATATTTGTCAAACCAAATAAAATATCGTCGTTCCCAATGCTGTGGGAGAAAGTAAATGCTTCTGTAGCATTGTTGCCAAGAAATGACTCCTGGCTTTTTGTCTTCTGGTCTTTGATGTGTCTGGGAAAAGTTACTGGGGTGGAGCTTTCACTTCAGTGCCGTGTATATCAAGATGTCTTTTCTAAATAGTGAGCCAAAATACCTGGTTTCTCTTATTCCAACCAGGAATATGAGGCTGTTTCCATTGCACTCTTACCACTCACACAGAATCAGGCTTGAATGCTTGTAGAAAAGTAGTATGAAGAGAGACTGCCAGATTTGTACTGATCAATATTGCTTGCAACCAGACACGTCACTGCTGAGAAAGACAAGAAGATAGGTATACCACCTGTTGGTTTAGCAGCATTTTTTAGGTGGATAGAATAGCTTACTGATGTGAAAACTGAGCAAGAGAAATAGTTTTCCTCGGAACAACAAACTGAAACAGAAAGAAGACTTGATCAGGAAGACTCGGCAACTAATTTTCATGGGCTCTGCCTTGGTTTCTTTTAAATTAGGCATTTAGATGATCTGATTGATCATTACATCTGATTGATCTGAATGACCAAATGACAGACCGAGTTTGATACTCCTCTCAAATTACCAGCCAGACATTTAGGCAAGGCCTTGTGCCTTGCCCTTGCAGTTTCTCTCTGTAATTCCAGTGTGACTCCAGAGCTCCATTTTCACAGGCATAGGGGGCAGTGGGTAAAGTGTGTTCTCTTCTAAAACCAGCCTGAACTAGAAAAATAGAGATGTTGACGCTGGTATTTTAAATAACTCCCTGCCGGTTTTATCTTTCTGTTGCATTTAGTTTATAAACTGAAATAATTTGAGCCCTAACTCTCTTAGAAGAGCACACAGTAAGTCTTAACCTAGAGGAAGCTCCTATATTAATGGAAGGAACTCAAAAGATATATTATGTTCTATTTATTGGCCATTATCAGGAATATTAAAGTAATTTATCAATAATTCATGGTAAATGTGTCCTTGGAACTAGCAAAATAATTTTCCTCTTTTACTGACCTTAGGTTAGTAAATCTTTCCTGGCTAAAGGTAGCCAGTAATGAAATGTGATTAAGATCACATACCCTGGTGCCACCCTTCCATCTCTAGAGGAATTTTAACTATTGCTAATTGTTGCCAGCTAATTAATCCTTTGTGTCAGAGCTGCTAAAGTGCAGCTGAGAGAGCAAGGTTTCCTAAGGAGTTTCCTGCCTGCCTTCTAGAACAGCTCAAAAATGTAACATACTGCACCAAAGGTAACTATGCTCTCCTTTGAGCATTCCTGACAAGTGAGTCCTTTACCTATTAGAAATTTTTAAAAATCTGTTAGTTGTAAAAACCTAGAACTTTGAACTAAATAAAAAAGAGTTAAGTATCATATTATTGTCTAAAACAAAGGAGGGAAGAAAGGAAAATTTAAAGTCCTATGTTTATTTAATTAGTTAAATAAGATGTTAAGCAGAATTTTTTCCTATACATTTTTACATGAATCGGCCTTTTAACAGTAATGCCTCTTAGAATTTATTTTGTTTATCATTAAGTTTAGTGATGGTCTTAAGAGAGCACCACAGTAAAAGTTAGGGATAGCCCTGGCTAGTCTTGGTATTGGAATATTTTGTTTTGTTTTGTTTTTTAGATTTTATTTATTCATTTGACAGAGAGAGAGACAGCAAGAGAGGGAACACAAGCAGGGGAGTGGGAGAGGGAGAAGCAGACTCCCCGCTGAGCAGGGAGCCCGATGCAGGGCTCGATCCCAGGACCCTGGGATCATGACCTGAGCCAAAGGCAGGCGCTTAACGACTGAGCCACCCAGGCGCCCCTGGAATATTTTGGTTTTGAAGAGAAGACTGGTGGGGTGGAAACAAAGTAGGCAACCATTTTCCCTCAAAGGCTAAGATACACTTTGCACAAAACTTTTAAAACGTCTTTTTTTTTTTTTAAGATTTTATTTATTAATTTGAAAGAGAGAGCACAAGCAGGGAGGAAGGGCAGAAGGAGAGGGAGAAGCGACTGAGCAGGGAGCCACATACAGGGCTTGATCCCAGGGCCATGACCTGAGCTGAAGGCAGACACTTAACCAGTTGAGCCACCCAGGTGCCCCATAACTTTAGAGTCTTATCTTTAGATGCTTTTAACCAGTACTAGAAATGGTCTCCTGAGACAGGTGTTCATGGTCTTTGAACAGTAACCCAGGTAGATTGGTATAGAGTAAGGTTATGCCTACCATATGTAATTGAATGTAAATAAACTTAGCATATTACTTAGTTCCAGTTTTCCCCCAGTATGGAAATTCAGGTTTTCATCTACATTTGCTAGTTGATCTTTATACCACTACTGCTCTCAAGAGAAGTTAGCAGAACCGTGAAGCTCTTTACTTAAACCATCAGTCAGACTTGACTTTTCCCCTTCCTACTCTCTACTCCTTCCCTTACCCCATGATGGATATCCTTTATGCCTCTTGTTGGCCTGTTAGCAGCTGCTTGAAGGTATCTCCATTCACGTTTTACCTATTTAGAGCTGAGATCAGAAGACACATACATACCCACACACAAGTATATTGGTGTGTAGCCACTTGGGTATATTTTTTAACTTTAAAAGATAATAATTTGGTCCCCAAATCAGTATAGACACTATAGCTTGTGTAGTTCTGTACATCATGACTATTCTACAAAGGGCATCATTCTTAGCTCAACGTCCCACGCCACATATATGCTCTGTTTATATTTCTTTGGTCTGTAGTGATGAAAAGTGCAGGCTGTGGTGGCAGCCTCAGGCTTACCACAGTGCACAACATGTTGACAGCGTCCCAGGAGTTGTATGCTACAGTTTTCAGACAGACTGAATGTGAATCCAGCCTCAACTGGTAACTCACTTTGTGATCTTAGGTAAATTACTTAACCTCTGTGTGCTTCAGTTCATCGATCTATAAAATGGGAATAAAAATGGTTCCTACCTCATTAAATTGTTATGATGATAAAGAGATAGTACATGCAAGGAGAGCATAGAATAGTGTCTGACATTCTAAACATGTAATAAATATTAATAAATATTACCAATTAAAGTTATCACTCTAAAATGGTAGCTAGGGCACCTGGGTGGCTCAGTTGGTTAAGCGACTGCCTTCGGCTCAGATCATGATCCCAGGGTCCTGGGATCGAGTCCCACATCGGGCTCCCGGCTCAGCGGGGAGCCTGCTTCTCCCTCTGACCTTCTCCTCTCTCATGCTGTTTCTCTCTCGCTCGCTCTCCAATAAATAAATAAATAAAATCTTTAAAAAAATAAAAATAAAAAATAAAATAAAATGGTAGCTACAGCTTGTGATGATTTTTTTATATATATAACATGATGATCAAGTGGAGTTTGTCCCAAGGATGCAAAGACTGTTCACCTAGAGAAAATTTATTAATATATTTTGACACTTTGAGAAAAATCATGATTATCTCAGTTGATGCAGAAAAGGCATTAGATAAGGTTCATTCCTTTTTATGCATTACCATGATAGAAGTTCTTTACAAAAACCTATAGATAAATTTATAGATAAATATATGAACAAGGCAGAATGAGCTGTATTAACACATTACTAATTACGTGAGATAAAAATGCATGCACACAGAAAAAGCCTCTAACTTTTAGAAAGGACTCAGAATTCTCATTGAAGCTGCTTAGGCTATTGGAGGTCTTCACAGGGCAAGCTTTACCTTACTGTACTTACTCTAAATTACTTGATATAAGAGTTAGATGAACTATATTTGAACTCATGAGGAATACTTCTAAAATTTCAATACAAGTCTTTGAGTTTGGACTATAAAAAGAAAAACTAAGCTTTTTTTCAAGTAGTTCCCACTTAAGTAGCTACTCAAAGTTAGATGGAAATAACCATTCTTTACTACTAATAATCATTTCTAACAATAATTAGAAGTTTGCTATGTACTAGTCGCTGTCCCAACCATTTCTTGTACATTAGTTCATTAAATTCTCACAGCACTATAATGTACCATTTGCTCCTTTTTACAAACAGGAGATGAAGGATTACAGAAGTCAAATAATAAGCTTAAGGTCATAAGCCAGATCTTAAAAGTAGGTTTCTCTACTTCTAAAACTTATGTTCTTAGCCAGTATGCACTGCCTTACACATACACCTTCACAGCAGATTTTTTTATTAATTTCATTTGTACATATGCAAGTAATATGTGAGTACATGTAAAATAAAAATTTTACAGTTAGTCATCCGTAGCTACCCCCCCACACACACTGTCCCAGTCACCTCTGGATTAATTTGAGAATATCTTCCCAGACATATTTTTCTATGCATTTATTTATATATATTTGTACATATAGAAATACATACTATCGTTTGTTGGGACTTCTTAAAAAATATAACCATACATATACAAAAGGAGAATCTAATTGCTATTTTCTTAGAGTCGCAGATTACTGTCTCAAATTAATTTTCTTGTGTGGTTGATTAATATACATATTCCCATATAGTGTATCAGTCAGGACTCTTTTTGGGTGAAACTCAATTAAAACTGGCTTAAACAAAAAAGGGTTCTTACTGGCTCATAGAATTTTTTATATGAAGTTGTTGGGCTACAACTGACTCAGGCTTTGCTGGATTCAAGTAGTCAAGTGATGTTCCGAGCCAGGAATCTGACTCTTCTCTGTTTTGTTTTCCTGTGTGTTGGCTTCATTTTCAGACAGGCTTTCTTTTTCCCTGCGTGTTTGTAAAAATGGAACCAGCAGTCCAGGCCTACGTTCTACTAGCATACCAATCCTTCAGGAAAGAGCTTTCCCAAATAGATAGAAAAAGTATTTGGAAGGTCTCTGATTCAGTTATGAATATGTTTGGTTATGAGCAATAGAAAATCTTCCTTACGTGGTTTAAAGAAATAGGGGTTCATTTTTTTCTCGTATCAAGAAGTCCAGAGGTAAGCAGCCTGGAGCTGGTGTAGCAACTCATCAAGGACCTAGTTTTTTTTCTTTCTGCTCTGCCATCTGTAGAATATTGATTTCATACCCTCTTGCTTATCTCCTCCTGGCCATAAAATGGCTGTAGCTTGAAATCATATTCACATTCAAAGCAAGGAAATGGAGGAAAGAGGGAACGCTAGTAGTATCTGTCTCTTTTATCAGGAAAGGATATTTTCCCAGAAGCCTGCCTAGCATATTTCTGCTTATGTCATTGTCCAGAACTGTGTAACATGTAACCTCCCAGATGTAAGACAAGCTGAAAAAAAAATGAGTGTTTTCTGTCTTTTATAATAAAGGTAGGTAAAGGAGAAGAGGATTGGGAGGGTATGTGTTGGATTAGCCAGTCCATTGGCTGTCCCCCGTTTTAGAACATGTGTCTTTCCCAGAGCCAGTCAACGTGTTCAGGGCAATACTTCGTTCAGTTGGCCAGGCCTGGGTCAGGTGCCCATCCTTGGAGTTGAGAGATTGGAATCAAGCTCAGCCACTTGATTTTTGACTGAAGAGGGAGTGGTTCCCCAAAGGTCAAGGAATGCTGGGCAGACAAAAACACCGTTTGGTATTTTTTATTTATTGTTTCTTTCCTACAACTCAAAATCTTGGATGAATGCAATCTTAGCTGCCATGGCCCAAGTACCTTTTAAAGTAGATACTTGTTGGGGCACCTGGATGGCTCAGTCAGTTAAGCTGCCAACTCGTGATTTCAGCTCAGGTCATGATCTCAGGATCATGGAATCAAGCCCCACATCGGACTCTGCACTCAGCACAGAGTCTGCTTGAGATTCTCTCTCTCCCTCCCCCTCCCCCCCGCTTGCTCCATCTCTCTAAAATAAATAAATAAAATCTTTTTAAAAAAAGGAAAACAGGGGCGCCGGGTGGCTCAGTTGTTACACATCTGCCTTCAGCTCAGGTCATGATCCCAGGGTCCTGGGATCGAGCCTCGCATCGGGCTCCCTGCTCAGGAAATCTGCTTCTCCTTCTCCCACTCCCCCTGCTTTTGTTCCCTCTCTTGCTGTGTCTCTCTCTGTCAAATAAATAAATAAATAATCTTTTAAAAAAAGATTAAAAATTTAAAAAAGGAAAACAAAGTAGATACTTACTGAGGCACTGACCTATTGGTAGGATTGAAAAGTCTATTATCAGCCCTTAGTCCTTCTGTTCATCTCTTATAAGGTTTAGATTTTCCTTTTTCCTCAAATTGTTCCAACTAATTGCAACAGAAATACATGTAATATTTTTGCTAAAGTGAAAATAGTTCTGTCTCCTGGCAGGAACCATATCTTACATTTAATAGATTATGTTAGAGAGTTCATTCAATTCAAACTGTTCTTCAGGTCGAGATTTCTTGTATATAACCCCAGAGCGCTCACTATATGGTGCACTGCACACTGTGCATACTTAATTAGCATTGCTGACTGATGATCACAGCTTTTTTGCCACTAGCTGAAAACTTACAGGACAGGACTCACACAGCCAGGCCAGCCTAGCCAACTCTATTGTGGTGACCAGCACTCTGCACTTGGCTTATGATGATTGTGACATATCATTTAGGGCCCCTCACCCAGGCCCAGAAGCTCATCCTTGCTTCCTTTCTCTGGCAGTTAATCATAGTCATTAATGGAGTACTCTTTATAACCCTTCCTGTCCTTGTGATTCAGCACTGGCACCCACTCACTTCTACATTGCTAAATGGCTTATAAACTTGCAGAACAAACAGAAAATGGACCGATGTGTCTTAAAGGGGAAAAAGTAATGGGTGTGAATGTTGGGGGAATTGACAAAAACTTTTTCCAAATGAAATATTTAGGGCATATTTCTAAGCATTCTGTTTTTTCTTTTATTCAGATTGATTCGGTTGCACTTGATGAGAAATATAAACTTCTTATTTAGTTCTGATACTTTGTGCCCAACTGGTTTCAACCAAAATGGCTGGTGAATTAGAGGGGAAGAAAATGGAATTAAACATTTGGCATCTCTAGTATTGTATCTTTCCTGTGGAGCCAGTGCTAGGAACTAAATTATTAGTGGTTATCTTTCTGGAGAAGTGTTGGCATAACTGAACTGACTTCTTTTTCTCTGTGCCCCTTCTTTTTTTTTTTTTTTTTTTTAAGATTTTTTAATTTATTTATTTGACAGAGACACAGTGAGAGAGGGAACACAAGCAGGGGGAGTGGAGAGGGAGAAGCAGGCTTCCCACGGAGCAGGGAGCCCGATGTGGGGCTCGATCCCAGGACCCTGGGATCATGACCTGAGCTGAAGGCAGACGCTTAACCGACTGAGCCACCCAGGCACCCCTGTGCCCCTTTGTAACATGCAACACAGAAACGCAGAAAAGGAGAAAATATAAGATGACTGGCAGTTCCAGGCTGTGGTGAAACTTAGCTTTATTATTAGTGTGTTTGTTAGGGTGTAATTCTATAAAGAAAGATAAGATGGGAGAGGGTGTAAAATTTCACATTGCCTTAACATCCACTCATTTGAATTTCACAAGCTCCTCACGTATCCAGTTGTCCTCATGTCTTAACAAATTTTGCCTTCTAATTCGTCCTCTATTCTCCATCCTCTAGAACTGTTTGTTCATATGTTTTCCTTGCCCATCCAAGACCCGATATTCATCTTTGTTGCTCCAACACCTAGCCCACACCCTGGCATTTGGTGGATGGTCGATGATGAGCAGTGCTTTGGGGTCGGTAGGCTGGTCTGTGCCAGTACAGTCTAATAGATGAGAAAGCGGAGGTTCTAGTGATTTACCTGACTCTAGTGATGGCAAAGTTAGAATTGGAACCCCTGTTTAGTACTCATCCCAATGTTCTTGTCCCTAAGCTATAACACACCTCCACCACAAAAATAGGATTAAGGCTGGATTCACTTAGAAAGTAGAAAAGAGGGTTTCCTGGCTGGCTCAGTCAGTGGAGCATGCGACTCTTGACTTCCTGTTTGTGGGCTTGAGCCCCATCGTGGTGTAGAGATTACTAAAAAATAAAATCTTAAAAATTATTTTTAAAAAAAGTGGAAAGGAAATAATTGCTTATGGTGAGATATTTTGGTCAGTAAGAATTGGCTGGAATTTGGCTGCCAACCTGCATAAGCCATTGAAAAAGACCAGCTATTTGCAGTCAAACCAAGAATCAGAATCTTTTTTTTTTTTTAAGATTTTATTTATTTATTTGACAGAGAGAGGGAACACAAGCAGGGGGAGTGGGAGAGGGAGAAGGAGGCTTCCCTCGGAGCAGGGAGCCCAATGCGGGGCTCGATCCCAGGACCCTGGGATCATGACCAGAGCTGAAGGCAGATGCTTAATGACTGAGCCATCCAGGTGCCCCAAGAATCAGAATCTTTAAAAAATATCAAATTATTTCATTTTACACAATAAAGAAATTCTTAGGGAAAATAGGTAAATTAAATTGTAAATTAAGACCTCTTCTCCACACTCTCCACACGCCACTCCTTGACTAATACAGATAATTTCAGGGCTACCATAGACTTACATATTTTTAACAAGAAATAACTTCTCTATCTGCAAACAAATATTTTAGTGCCAATTGTGAACGGGTTCTATGCACATAATGCTTTTTAGCTGTCATAATCCTATCGAGTTTCATACAATTTTAGAACTCAAGTGAACTTCAAAGATCATTTAGCCCAACCACCTCCTTCTGTGCTTAAGGATACTGGGATTCTGACATGTTGATTTATCTAATCAGTTAGTGAATTAGAGCCCTCATCTCATCTTATCTCTGTTTGTCCTTGATCCTACAGAAAACTTCTATAAGGTGAATAATTCTCTCCTGATGATTCTGAGACACCTTGCTGCTATTCTTATTGGGTTTTACTATGTGGCTTTGTTGGAAGTAGGCAGACCTGTAAGACAGAGTTCACATACTTCCTTTGCACAGTTTCTGTGCTTGATTTTGCATGTGCCTATGGTTTTAAATATTTTTGCCTCCCACTTCCAGGCATGTCTGGTCTTCCCTTCTTGCCTGAAGGGAAGGTATAAGGTATAAGGCTAAAAGCAGTACCATATTTACAGGATTAGCTTTCATTTTTTGTAGACTCCTTTGTGAGCTAACCTATAATAGGTAATCCTGAAATATAAAATATTCTACTAGAAGTCAGTGACAGTTGCTGCTTGTGAAGATAGGTTAATGAGAGGAATACCCATTCCCTTTGAAGTTAGATGTATGTGCACACATCTTAGCTGGATACTTGTAGTAAATTGGCTGTATTCCATATCTATATACACAAGACTCACATATTTTAATTCTTTATTTTTTACAGCCATCTCTTCCTGTACTTTATACCCTGTCTAGCCAGGCTACACATGAAGCTGTTCATCTCCTTTGCAGGATGTTGGTCTTTGATCCAGTAAGTAGTGTTTATTTTTATATTGTTTTAATGAATTAAAAATACATGTGTTCTAAGAAAAACATCCTGGCTTTAAATAGCTGAGCAATGTAAAGAATGACTTTTCAAAAATAAACTTCAGTCCCGTTTCATGTGTATCATCATGCTCGCTCATTGCACAGAAGTTTGATTATTAACACATAAACATCTAGATGAAGAGAAATAGGGAACTATACCATCTTTATTTCTCTCAGGATTTGAAAAAAGAGTTTGACACCAAGGTAAATCAGGAGAAAAGAATTTTAACATTCTTGGGAAAAAATCTGCCCATTACATTGCATAAGGAACTGTTTACTCATTTGGTGGTTGAGATGGTAGCCTTATCAAATGCCATTTCTAGACTTGACTCTTCTGAGACAAAGTTCAGGTCTTCATTTATCTGTTCATCCAAAGACTATTTATTATTCATCTCTGTGCTGGTAACTATTGCCAAAGAAGACTCAAAAATGAAAACATTTAGAAAAGAACATCTTACTTGATGAGAGTACAAGGAAGTCCTCAAGTACAAAACACAACAGGTATTTAAAGGGGAAAAAAGCCACAGAAGTACCATTTATGAAGTTTACATTGGTATGTTCATAATGAGAAAACAGCTACATCTCAGGGGACAGAGTGAATTTTTTGTTCATTTGGTGTTTATTTTTTGGTTTCCATTTGTTTGCTTCAACATGTGAGGTGCCTCATGATACGGGAAGCAAAACAGAGTGGCGCTTCTTGTTTCCATACCCTCCTTGTGGTCAAGCTCCTACCATTAAGGACTGTTTCAACTACATAACTTGCTCAGTGAGCTAGTGATTTAGTGTCATTAGTTTGATTTTTTGTTTTATTTGGCAAGTTTATCTACATAGCTAAACTATGTATACAACAGGAGATGTTCATACATAAAGACCTTTTACATATTTTTAATGTATCTTTTGTGGTTAACGAAATTAAAACCACATGAACTTCAGGCTTCAGAGGTCATTTCTGTCTGCCTCTAGAGGATATTATAAAGGCCCTGAGGTTAAATTTTACTTTTATGTGTCAGAAATATGTTACTCTCTTTATTCTGTTAAGATTAGGGAAGAAGAACCATGTGATTCACCTGTACCAACTTTTACTTGCAATACTTAGAGCTATAAGGTGTCCTATTTCTCTGAGATCCCATGATTATTAATGATCCTGACCTGCCAGGAGTTCATAATCTTTACAACCCTAAGGCTGGAATTCCTAAGCCGTAGAGTGGATACCAAGCATGAGAGGCTTTTTAGACATCAGTTCTACACATGAAATGTCCTTTTTCCTTAAGAGTGGGGTTGTCACACCTAATTAAAACGAAACTTTTGGTGTGCTCATAGTTATACATTAGATTTATCTATAAGAAGGAGGTAAGATTTATCTGGTTCAAAAAAAAATAGAGGATAGATTCTTATTGGACCTGTGCAAATAACTACATGGTCATTTAAAAAAAAGAATTCCATTAAGGCACCCCATGTAATATTTACCCATTTTTATCATTGTCTTATAGGACAAGGTCAACCAATATATATTGTTATTTATTTACAGAATCATTTTAAATTGGCCTGATGCTTTTTTAGTTTCTGACTGATATTAAGGATTCTTTTCTTTCCAATTCTGAGGGTTCAATTAGAAATAGATACCATTTTTAAAGAGTGTTTCATTCTGATTTAACCTGTTAAATTGAAGGCTAGCGATACATTAAGAAGAAAGAAATGAGGTTTTTAAAAAATATCCATCAAAAATAGAACATTAACCATAATTAAATCAGTTAGTCTGAGTTAATTTAGTCCAGTTAGTCTGAGATAATTATTTAATTACTTTATTGATCTTGGGTTAAGCAGTCTCCTGCCACATGTCTGCTCCTGGACTGACACATTCCTGGAAATCCTGGCTCAGTTACTTGGTTTAGTCTAGGTGATGGTTGTCTGTGCTGGTAATATCAGCTATACCCGTAAGTTTGTATCCTGAATTCAGTAGTTGGGAGTACCTGGTGTAACAGTCCTTTACTGAGGTTCTTGTGACGTTTCTCATGGAAAATTTAATTCCTTAGCTTGTAGTAGAAGCCTTTAGACAAATATAAGGAGAAAGCAGAAACCACTAGAGGATAAGTTTAAAGGGCTCTGGTTCTTTTATTGTAACACTATCAAATAGTATTAGAAAGGATGGGATGTAATAAATAATCAGTTTATAAAGATGTAATTAACTATTAACTCAAATAGTGAAGGCATTAAACAAACCTCCAGAGACTTTAATTTATCTAAATGCAGTGAATAGTTACAAGCAATATATTTTTAAAGCACAACACTAATTATGAGGAAGTTAGACAAAATTATTCACTTTTTTTCCTCTTGCCAAACATCTGTCTATTATTTTGCATATACATCTTCCTATCATCACATATTCTTTTATACTCTTTACAAAAATACATATTACTTTACCCAAAGATATTTGCATATCTTTTTTAACTGTTTATTGATGGCTCCTCTATAATGTATTAATGAAGAGCCTTTGTATATTAAAATTATGTTGTCCGGGTATCCAAAGACTGTTTATTAACTCAAATTAATTATTACCAAGGTTTTAATGTTTAACTAAGAATCAGATTAAAATTTAAGTTGACAGATTAAGTCCTTATAATTGTAGCATTCTAAAACTGATTTATTTTTAGAAACACATTACCTATTATCATTCATCTAACGTAGTTGAACACATAATTTTGTAATTCTGTAATCTTATACAAAGGGATATTAGTTTATCTGACCAGCAAAATCAGTAGAAAAAAAACTAAATTCAAAATGACTAGGCTTTTTGTGGGAAAACAAACCCAAAACTTATAGAATATTGTGGTGGCATTATTTGTACATGGCAGTAAAATCAGAAAGAAAACAGATATTTTAAAATTTTTATAACTATTAACTCAAGCTGATTTGTCCAGAGTCACCTTGCATAGTAATATCACATGACCTCTTTATCTTATACAGTTATATACCAGATATTAAAACTTTTAAGTTAAGAGAAATATTTTGCTTTTTACTCTGTAACCTACTAACCAAGAGTATTATTTTAATTCATGGTTAAAGCTTTATTTAATCTTTGAGTTACAGCTTTTTTTTTTTTTTAAGATTTTATTTATTTATTTATTTGAGAGAGACAGAGATAGAAAGAGAGCAGCGGGAGGAGCAGAGGAAGAAGGACAAGCAGACTCCACACTGAGTGCAGAGCCTGATGCAGGGCTCAATCCCAGGACCCTGAGATCATGACCCAAGCCAAAATCAAGAGTCAGATGCTTAACTGACTGAGCCACCCAGGCGCCCCTATGAGTTACAACCTTAGCAAGAAAAAATTTCTAAATAGCCAACATATTTAATACTTAAGGAAGAATAATGTTTTAAAAATCTTTTCAGGGGCGACTGGGTGGCTCAGTCGTTAAGTGTCTGCCTTTGGCTCAGGTCATGATCCCAGGGTCCTGGGATCGAGCCCCACATCAGGCTCCCTGCTCAGTGGGAAGCCTGCTTCTCCCTCTCCCACTCTGCCTGCTTGTGTTCCCTCTCTTGCAGTCTCTGTCAAATAAATAAATAAAATCTTTAAAAAAAAAAAATCTTTTCATTTCTTTGTAAAATGTCTTTAATGTGTTGATTGGTTCTAAAAGCCAGCTAGAACAGGAGTTTGCTCCATTTGCTTTTTAAGAGATCTCATAACATGATATATTAACTCCCTTCAGGAGTATACAAAGTACATCAATGTGTTTGCTTAGAAATATTTTTTATTTGTAAAATGGAAAGTTTTATCAGTTCTTCAAAACTAAGCCAACTCTGATAAAGCAACAAAATCCAAGAAACAAGTATCCACATCTATTATAAATGTTGATCAGTTAAACAAGGTATGTACAATATGTAATTAAGAATATATATGACATGGGGCACCTGGGTGGCTCAGTCAGTTGCATGTCTGACTCTTGGTTTCGGCTCAGGTCCTGGGATCGAGCCCAGTGTTGGGCTCCCCTGCTCAGGCAGGGAGTCTGCTTCTCCCTCTCTCTCTCTGCCCCTCTCCCAGCTTGCACTCACATGTGCATGCATTCTGGCTCTCTCAAATAAATAAATAAATCTTAAAACATATATATATATACACACACACATATATGTGCATATGTATATATATATATAGGACATAATTAAGCACCACTAGGTCCTTCCAAAGAACATTATTGAAAATCTGAGTAATTTTGTGATCTCTTTCTCAATTTAGTAAGGCAGTTTTTCTTTTCAGTGTTCATACCCATTACAAAATGACAGTCTTCTTTCTTTAGCCTTGTTTCAGAAGTTCTAAAGAGACATTAATTTGTTTAGAAAAATGAAAGTTGATCATTGATTGCATGCTAGGGATTTGATTTACTTTTTGTTCAAAGGCTTCTCTTAGGTAAGGTACTTTAGAGGACCCCATGTTGGTGCACACAGAATGAACAAACACAGAGCTTGCTATCAGTAGTTGGGATAACACCAAAATCTTTCCAACCCTGCATTCTGGAATTTTAGGAAATATCAGAACCCACAGGCAACAAAACTAACAGGAAAACCAGGTTCTGAGAGAGACCCAATTTCTCACATCTGCCACCTGACAGAAATGACTTAACGGTCAGATGATAAACTTAAACTCCAGATTCAACCACTGCTGCCACCAGTGTGTGCACGATTGGCCATGCTCAGTCAGAACCAGAAGTAGATTTGTCCAAGACCCAGCTGTAGTGTGCAAAAGCCAAGGAGCTCTGTCCCTCACTTGAGACCGGCCGGAGGCACTGAGGACTCCAAGGGGCCCAGTCCCAGGCAAAATGTACTGTCAGCCAGCTTGTTTCCTTTGGTTCTGATAATAGAACTTTATCCCAGTGGAACCTCCAGGAATAGCTGGACCCATTTAGAAAAAAAAGAAGAAGCTTACTTCTAAGAGTGCCAGCGAGTCAGGCTTCAGAAGGGTTGGATCACCAGATATACCATATGACCATATGACCGGTAGTGAAAGAAACAAAACCGAGGTTGTCAAGTTTACAGTCATCTGTTCATGGTGGATAAACAGCAGCTTTCTTTTGTGATTATCATATCCTGAAAAGTCATGACATGCCTTTTAACATCAGCATAGCAAAAAATTAGATAAAAGTGGTTTTTTTGTTTTGTTTTGTTTAAAGTTTTTTTTTAATTTATTTATTTGAGAGAGAGAATGAGATAGAGCATGAGAGGGGGGAGGGTCAGAGGGAGAAGCAGACTCCCTGCCGAGCAGGGAGCCCGATGCGGGACTCAATCCCGGGTCTCCAGGATCATGACCTGAGCTGAAGGCAGTCGCCCAACCAACTGAGCCACCCAGGTGCCCTTGTTTAAAGATTTTTTATTTTTTATTAGAAAGAGAGAGCACAAGTAGGGGAAGTGGCAGGCAGAGAGAGAGGGAGAAGCAGACTCCCCGCTGAGCAGGGAGCCTGATGTGGGGCTCGATCCCAGGACACCAGGATCATGACCTGAGCCGAAGGCAGACGCTTAACCATCTGAGCCACCCAGGCGCCCCGAGATAAAAGTGTTTTTAGGGAAACCAGGTTTATGGGAAATATTTAACATTTTGTTATTTGGGGGACTAGAACCAGTCAGGATGATCCAGTTATTTTTGGTTTGAGTACCAAATGGTTTTGTTTTTAATTGTGTTATGTGAAGTGCTTGATTATACTGGGAAAGGGGCAGAGTGTCCATTCTTGTTCTACTTGTACTGAGTCCATCCTTAAATACTTTAAAATGTACTTATATGTCCACTAAGCTAAAAAGAGGAGTTTTTTTTTTTTAAAGATTTTATTTATTTATTTGGCAGAGAGAGACACAGCGAGAGAGGGAACACAAGCAGGGGGAGGGGGAGAGGGAGAAGCAGGCTTCCCGCCGAGCAGGGAGCCGGATGTGGGGTTCGATCCCAGGACCCTGGGATCATGACCTGAGCCGAAGGCAGACGCTTAACGACTGAGCCACCCAGGCGCCCTGAGCAGATTTTTTTTAATGGAGAAATGAGTTTATGATTTATGTAAACCTGAAACTACTACATTAAGTATTCTGATCTAAAGTGCTAGAAAACCACAGGCCACTGATATTCGGATGGTGCTGGCTGTCAAAACATGGCATTCAGACCTTATCTGCTGCCTAACCCGAGCAGTTACCCATAGGCTTTTGCCCTAAGTTCAGTTGGCATTCTAAGAGAATAAAAGTTTGTAAAATTGCCACTGTGATCACATCTCTACCAAATGCTGAAACATATTTAGAAAATATAACTGTTATTTAAAATGTAAACTTACCCCTCCAAAGCATTGCATATTTAAATGTCATGGTATTTGCCATTTTTTGACCATGCATATGTCTATTTCAAGGTAGGAACTCTTCAGGATCTTAGCAGAGTCACGTCTAAGTGCTTTCTAGTGGTGTCAGGTGGTTGGTTGTCCTACATTATATACTCCCTCTGCTGCTGCATTACCTGCCTCTACATTCAGACGTTCCTCTTTATACAAGATACACTACAGACTAAGGATAAGCTGTGAAAAGCAGTTACTGTGTCTTATGAAAGATCCTTTGTGGACAGTCATGTTTATCTGTGGTGTTGATGTGCTGGTCTCTAAATTTGATTTCAGTCCAAAAGAATATCCGCTAAGGATGCCTTAGCCCACCCCTACCTAGATGAAGGGCGACTACGATATCACACGTGTATGTGTAAATGTTGCTTTTCCACCTCTACTGGAAGAGTTTATACCAGTGACTTTGAGCCCATCACCAATCCCAAATTTGATGACACTTTTGAGAAGAACCTCAGTTCTGTTCGACAGGTTAAAGGTGAGTATCTTTTTTGGCCCTCGGCCAGGCAGGATGAAAAATAACATTTTCCATTATGTGGCTGTGAAAAGCTGAATCTAGATGGTGACCAAAGTTCCTCCATATGTTTATTTTACAACCTTGCATATAGCTTTTTGTCCAGGGCATATATGCCCAGAAAGCTATGTGTGTTATAAAAACACTGATTTAATATTGCATCCAGTGGAAGGTCAGGCTGACTTATTTAGTGAGTGTGACTCAAAGTAGATAATATGTATTCACTCAGTGTGATTTCACTGAATGAAACATATTGGACTTTTTTATATATAAACATGCAAATTATACAAAGGATATAAACACCCACTGAGGGAATCATTCCTTGAATGGTCACAAGAAAGGGGAATTTCTGATAGTCTACTCATAAAATTCCCTGACAACGATCTCCTATTGGGGTGGGGATGGAGGTTAATGACATCCAAAATTCTGAATGATTTTAGACATTTTAGGACGTTTTAGAGGAGTAGTCCCTGAGGTAAACGGCCAAAACTATGTGCCTAAACAACTGCAGGGGTTTTTTCAGTGATTTTCAAAAGAGCAATAATTACCAGCAACCTAGAAGATTCATTCATAATGCCAACTCTGTGGAATCACCCTCAAATTTATAGACCATTTTACTCCTCCCATGGACGGAGTTTCAAACCTGTATAACACCACTTGGTCAGCGGGGTATGGAGGTTGCCTGTGTTTAGCAGCCACTGTCATTTTGGTTTCAGGAAAGTTCCACTGGATCCTGCCTGATACATGATCTGTGTGTTTGATCTAACTGAACTAGTAGGAAATGCTGTTCAGATGCTGGCCAGTTAGCTGAGAATCCGCTGTTCCCAGGCCTGCAGATTGGCATGGATTGTATGATGTTTGTTTTCTCCACAGAAATTATTCACCAGTTCATTTTGGAACAGCAGAAAGGAAACAGAGTGCCTCTCTGCATCAACCCGCAGTCTGCTGCTTTTAAGAGCTTTATTAGGTAACTATATATATGTAATTCTTACTTTCTTGTTATTAAAAGGTTGCCATTGTGATTTAGTTATTTAGCATATTTCTGTTTTTATTTAGATTAGATAATATAGACAAAAAGAAGGTTTCCTCTACGAGTTTTGGCTTTAGTCAAAAGCAAATTAAAAATGTAAGCATTTGGGCACCTGGGTGGCTCCGTTGGTTAAGCGACTGCCTTCGGCTCAGGTCATGATCCTGGAGTCCCGGGATCGAGTCCCGCATCGGGCTCCCTGCTCGGCAGGGAGTCTGCTTCTCCCTCTGACCCTCCTCCCTCTCATGCTCTCTGTCCCTCATTCTCTCTCTCGCAAATAAATAAAATCTTAAAAAAAAAAATGTAAGCATTTGTTTTTACACTGACGCCACTTCACGGTGGTTGATTGGGGATGGTGCTTTGGCAGTTTTGTTCGCAGATGACCACTGTACTGCCTGATCGAGCACATGCTAGGGACCCTCCCATAGCAGCAGCGTGGCGGCTGCTGCCCTCGACATAGACATGGTTATCTTGGCTCCCACTACCATCCCCACCACCTTAATAATAACTGCAAGCAAGGTGATTTTATAGGTATAGTGCTGGTGTATCCTGTCTAGAGTTTTGTTGAAAGAGCTTCATAGCTGCTTTGGAACCCGACAAGCCTCGTTCTCTTTGTCTCTCTCTCTCTGTCCTTTCCTTCTCAGTGTCTTTTTCCCTAATCCTTGCATCAATTAAGGTCCAGCCAGGTGAAAGAAACCACACCCAGTAATGTGGACAGGGAAAATTTAATAGTGAGAAGCATTAACTAGGAAAAGATGGTTAACTCTAAAAGGTGCATAAGAAGATTCTGGAGGGTCCCAAAGTAGCCAGTGCAGAAAGCAGGTACTCCCTCCAGACTAAGGAAGAGTGAACAAGGAAGAAATTAAAATTTGGAGGAGGGCCCACCACCCAAGGCTTATAAAATTTGGACCTCTTTGTAGAGGATATGACTGCCACAAGAACACACACAGCTTGAGGGTGGTGAAGAAACTTTGCAAAAGGTGTGGGCAGAACTGGTCCAGAGACACCTGCTGGGTTGCAGAGAAACTTGCCAGAAAGTTTGGGTAGAACAAAAGTGGGCCTTCCACGTCAAAAAAACCACACCAGAAGCAGGAAGAGAAACTGCCTCCTGATGCTGTGGCCTTGCAGTGTCCTTCCAGCATAAGCTGGGTGGCAAAGGATAACTGAGTAAGGTCTGGCTCCAATATCACAAAGCAGGACAGAGAAGGGTGGATTTAGATCTGAGAGACCACAGTCTTCCTCCTTTCTTCCCCACCTGCCTTTCTGCCTCTCCCTTTCCCCTCTCCTCCTTGCTTCCCTTTTAATTGGCCTTGACCTGGTGTTGAAGTTGATTACATTTATTAAAGCAAAGTCAAGAATTTTTGTTTAGGGGCGCCTGGGTGGCTCAGTCATTAAGCATCTGCCTTCGGCTCAGGTCATGATCCCAGGGTCCTGGGGAGCCTGCTTCTTCCTCTCCCACTCCCCCCTGCTTGTGTTCCCTCTCTCGCTGTGTCTCTCTCTGTCAAATAAATAAGTAAAATCTTAAAAAAAGAAAAATTTTTTTAAAGAATTTTTGTTCAGGATTTTTTAAATCAGGGGTGACTTTCATTTCTTCCATGTATTTTTCTGTGGAAAGAAGGAATTAGGTTGCATTTTTACTTTTCTGTGGTTTAAAATTAATTTATTATTTTCCCCTAAGAATCAGTGACCCAGTCAGTCATGTGTTTTAATACCTTTCAGGTGCAGGTTATTCATTATCCCAAAGCAAAGTGGTTATACACACACCCTCAAGTTTATAATCTAGTTAGCAAAATTAGACAGATATGTGAAATAACTGAGAAAACCGATCTGTGGGTAACAAATGCCAAATGATTATCCATTACTACTGAACTCATATTGATAAAAGAGTGCTTATAAGGCTCATTCACATAGGTTCCCACTTAAAGTCACTGTATTTTGAGAGGCTGTTTTTAAATGGATAATTCTACATCCCTTAAGGTTATTTTCCTGGTTGATTATAGACATTATTTTTTATAATACCTACCACTTACTTTATATTACGAAGTAGACATGGTGGAAGACACTTTACCTACATTATCTCGTGTATTCATCACAATGTCCTATGAGGTGGTTGGCAGGCATCATCCCTTTCCAAAAGAGGAAAGATGAGGGGATTTGCTCGGCATCCCACGGCGAGTAAATGATCTGTCGTCTTCAAGCCCATCACCGTTGCCTCACTTATAGATACAGATTCTTGAATGAACAATTTGGAACAAACGTAGCTTTAGAGAAGTTAAATAAAAATCTAGAAATGGACTTTATAATTTTTTAAAAGGAAGAGAGGAAAACATGCAACATTGACTCGCCCTCTTGCCCTTTGTGGTGTCACAGCTGGTTTCACCGTGTCTCTATTTTTTTCCAGTTCCACTGTTGCCCAGCCATCTGAGATGCCCCCATCTCCTCTGGTGTGGGAGTGACGGTGGACGATATTGTACTACTGAAGATGTAATGTAGCTTTCCACTGGAGTCTGGGATTTGCAATTCTGGAGGTTAATCATGCTTGTACTGTAATTTTACTAATGAAGTTTTAAATTAACAACCACTACTTGTATGATATGAATAATATTTAGAAATGTTACTAGACTTTTAATCTTGTAAAGTGGTTGTGCTTTTAGAAGAAAAATATTTTACCCAGAGTTGCACATGTTTTATGAATTTAGTGCAGCTGTTATGGCTCACCTCAGAACAAAAAAGAATTGAACCAAATCGGGATTTGGGGGTTTTGTGTTTTTGTTTTGTTTTCTTTTTCTTTTTTTAAAATGAAGTGAGATTGTTCACACACACACACACACACACACACGGACAGTCGTACATTTTGATATTTGAGCCATTCCTGAAAATTTGGGGTTTTCTAAAACAAAAGAATCTAGAAACCTTGCCTGCGACCAATCATGGAGCCACATGAGGGGATCGTGGCTGCACCTGGGGGGTGGGGGTGGGGCATGCCACCTAATGATCAAGCCCTATAATTAGCTTCTCATTAGAGCTGTGACGGTGATGTGTGCTGTCTAAAATCCAATGTTGTGGGTAGAGAGAATGAGTTTGTGACTAGGAGAGACTAAACTTCTGTTTTCCTTACCCAGTATAAATATATATATATATATTTAATCTATTTTTATTAGAAGTTTTTCTGCTCTTTCTTACATAAAAGAACCCCCCAAGCATGCATCTTTCATGTGTGTAAATAATTCATTTCTGGGCTAATTTCAAAAGAATCCCAATATTGCTGTATAGAGAGAGAACTAGCTTGCACATTTTAGGTCTGTGAAATTTTGTGAGACTTTTCCTGCACTGGACAGTAAAAAAAATAAATAAATAAAGACAAAAACAAATTTTTAAAAACTTTAAAGCCACAAAAAAAGGCACATAGGGAATTATGTCAAATGTGTTTGTGTCCTTAGGCAAAGCTGTGGGAGTCTTGAAATGTCACAGTAGTAAATAACTTATTACTTTTTGACAAATTCTTTTTTCTGTTGGAACACTGAATTCTTCTGTGCATATGTATATATGAATACAAATTGAAGGCCTCTACCTCCTGGAGTTATACAACTTGGCTTGTTTACCTCCACATGCTGATGATGACTATTTTTTTTTTTTAAGTTCAATGTGGAGACTTGAAACTTGAATGTCCCTTCCAACTTTTATATTAAAAATAAAAAGACAAGAAAATTGAAGATCGTTTTTCACCTGTACAAGGAATACTAATGGATCGTCTTAAAATTGGTCTAGGAAAAAACCTTGGTGTGTGTTATGGACAATTAACTGTTAAAGTTATTGTAAGTTATCTGTATTTAGCAGAGTATTTTCATCTTGAGTGATCTGAGCTGAATTTGAAGACTATTAATAAGTTATGTTTGGAAGTTTTAACTTCAATGAAGTAATTATTTGCTGTGAAAGAAACAAACATTGAATTACTAAACAAAGATGGTGCAATATCTTTGTTTTTTTTTTATGAGGCTCCTGAGAATCAACCCAACTGAAGCATTTCAATTCACTTGAATGAGAAACGTGTTTAGTATCAAAAGAGCCCAAGAAGACACTGGTGTGAAAGGTACAATCTCAGAGGTTGGTCAATTACCGTGGCACACTTACTGGTCACTTTGTACAATGTAGATTTGAAGTACAGTGGTGAAAACATTAAATGTGACATTTGAAAAAGATGTGTCATCTGTTTTCTTTAAATTCTTTTCCTTTGTTTTCTCTTCAGCACAGCTTTTATTCCTGATTTTGCAGTTTTAAGACATTTCCTATTTATATTTTTATTTTGATCTTTGAGGAAATTAGTTGTGGTTTTTAAAATTCTTCCCAGAAACTTTACATTGCCAAAAATATATCAAAAACTTAGTTAAGTAATATTAAAGATATTGTGAGTCAAATATATATAATTTGAAAGTCTTCCCAGACCTTAGTGTGTCTAATCCAATGGTTTTCAAGCTTTTTTTTGAGCAAAGAACCTTATTTTCATGTGAGATTAAATTTCAATACACTGGAGCCCAAAACATTAAATAAATAAACTGGATGAAACAGACTGCCAAGGACTTGACCTCACCCTTCTTTTCCTTTCTGCCTCCTACCCCTGGCAGCCCAAAGGTAATTCCAGCGAAGGAAGAAGTCCCAGCTGGGGTGCCTGGGGCTTAGTCAGCTGAGCATCTGCCTTCAGCTCAGGTCATGATCCCAGGGTCCTGGGATCGAGTCCTGCATCGGGCTCCCTGCTCAGCAGGGAGTCTGCTTCTCCCTCTCCCTCTGCTGCTCCTCCTGCTTGTGGGGGTGGTGGGGAGAAGTCCCAGCTGGATGGTGGTATAATTACGACCTGACACCAGACTGCCTAACTTCAGAATACCTTCCCTGTGGTGGATAAGGCAACATGACTCTTGAGTTTGTAGATGGTATGTATTTCCCCTGTCCTTCCTTGATTTAGCAAAATGAATGGATTTTTTTCCTGACATGGAGGGAATTGGCTGTTCTAACTCATATAAATTAATACACATACACAAAGTAGTTTGTTCATCCAATAAACTTTTGAATACCTACTGAGTGCAAGAATTACTTATAAGGACACCTTGTTAATATCAATAGTACTTGAATAAAAAAACTAGTTTTCATCACTTACAAGAGAATTATAAATTGCACAACAAATTTTTTTTTTTTTAAGATTTTATTTATTTGACAGAGACATAGCAAGAGAGGGAACACAGCAAGGGGGAGCCCGATGTGGGGCTCGATCCCAGGACCCTGGGATCATGACCTGAGTGGAAGGCAGATGCTTAACGACTGAGTCACCCAGGCGCCTCTACAACAAATTCTTCACTGATAAATACTAGAGAAAATATATTGACCTATTCCCACTGAAACCTGCTCAGCTAACCAAGGGATGTATGCCTCGTTTTTTGTTTTTTGGGGTTTTTTAATTGTTGATAATTGCAAAAATGTGGAATTTCTACAGCCAGTGGAATCAGTATGGACCGGTAAGTCAGGGCTCTCATCAGCTGCAATTTGTTTGCACTTTAGGTATAAGGACCCAGAAGATGGAGGGTAGTGTCTTGTGATAGTTCATAAGGTTTGGAATTTTTATTTTGTTTTTCTTCTATGGTATATCATTTAAAATACTACTCTTAAAGAACAGAATATGACATTTGCATGAAATTTGAAATAAAGGCCACTTTGGGGGAGCTGTTTCCTACTATGCTCTCAGGAACGTCTAAACAGCATGGATAGTAAATGAGAACTTTGAGGCTCCTTTTCTTCCTTAAATGGTCTTTCCTTGGCTTCCATAACACCACTGTTTTTCTCCCTTCTTAGGGGCCACAGTCTCCTATACAGGCTCCTTCCTCTGCTTAATCTTCACAATGTTGTGTTCCCTGGGAGCTAGGGATCAATCCTGAATCCTGGCTTCTCTTCATGCTCTAAAGCCACAGGTTCTTGACTTGGCTTCTTGGTAGAATCACCTGGAGAACTATCAGGAATTCCAGTGCATAGGCTGCACCTCAGACCAGTTAAATCAGAATCTCTCTGGAGACAGATCAGGCATCAGTTTTGTGTTGTCTTTTTTTTGGTTTTTAAGATCTCCAGTTGATTCCAATGTCCAGCTAAGATTGCGATTCACTGTTGGCTACTCTCATCTTGTGACCTCATCTGCCCTCAGTGAGCATAAGAGAATGAACCCAAATCTCTTACTATATACCCAGATTTTTCTGCTAGGTGCCTATTAGAAATTTCCACTTGGTTATCTTATAGGCATCTCAGACATGTCAAAAACTGAAATTAATAATGTTTCCCACACAACTTTATTATTAAATCCTTCTCACTTTTCCATACTGGTTCTTTTTTCCCCCTTCCCAGACTAGGGCCATCCTTAGCATATAATGAGTAATTGTGGAAGAGAAAAGAATTGTATGTTTGGGGGCAAGAGGGACAGAGTTGGGAGTTGGCCCAGGCTATAGCACCCTCTCTTCACAGTAGGTTAGGACCTGTGCCAGAGTGGTACTCTTGGCACCATGGCACCAGGTTTTCCTTTTTTGGCAGGGGAGGTGCAAGAGAATGGTTCAGGCTACAGTGTTCCATCTGCTCCCTTCCCCTAAATCCTGGGCCAGGGCTTCACCATCCACCCCGTTACTTAAGCCAGAAATCAGAGTCCTCCTCACTCCCATCTTCACTCCAGAATTCATGCACATTTTTCATTCCATTCTTTAATATTCTTTTATCTTAATGTTCTAAATTACGTGCCATAAAAGAAAAATAAAACTTTCCCAGTTGATGAGTTAGATGGCTATTGAATCTTGTTTTCCATTTTGGAAATCAGGGCTGAATTGGAAGAGACTGCTACTACTTGCTGAACTTAACATCTGGTTTCTCGTCTCTCAAGATTAAAATATTTTGAGAATCAAACCCATAAGTGATGACATTTTGCCTACACATTTTTTATATATGTGTCAGGTGTACAGCTCTATAATTCAACATCTGTATACACTACAAAGTGATCACCAGCAAAAGTGAAGTTACCATCCATCACCGTACAGTTGCCCCACTTCACGCATTTCACCCACCCCCTAACCATTAGTGTGTTCCCTGTATGTTTTTGTTTTGTTGTTTTTAGACTCCACATGAGTGAAATTATATGGCATTTGTCTTCATCGGACTTACTTTGCTTAGCGTAATACATTCAAGGTCTATCCATGTCACAAATTGCAAGATTTCATTCTTTTTTATGGCTGAGTAGTATTCCATTGTATAAATATACCACATCATCTTGATCCATCTATCTGTGGACACTTAGGTTGTTTCTATATCTTGGCTATTGTAAATAATGCTGCAATGAACATAGGAGTGCATATATCTTTTCAAATTAGTGTTTTCGCATTTGTCAGATAAATACCTAGAAGTGGAAACCTGGGTCATGTGGTAGTTCTTAATTTTTTGAGGACTCTCCATAGTATTTTCAATAGTAGTTGCACAAATTTACAATCCCACCAAAAATGTACAAGGGTTTCCTTTTCCCCACATCCATTCCAACACTTATTTCTGGATTTTTGTTTTAATAATAGCCATTCTAATAGATGTGAGGTGATACCTCATTGTGGTTTTGATTTGCATTTCCCTAATAATTACTGATGTTGAACAACTTTTCATGTGCCTTTCAGATCCTCTGCCAATTTTTTAATTGCATTGTTTTTCTGTTGAGTTGTATGAGTCCTTGTATATTTCAGCTGTTAACCCCTTATCACATAACTGGTTTGTAAATATCTTCTATTCAGTAGATTGCCTTTTTGTTTTGATGATGGTTCCTGTGCAGAAGCGTTTTAATTTATTTTTGCTTTAGTTTCCCTTGCCTTTGGAGTCTGATGCACAAAGATGCTGCTAAAACCAATGTCAAAGAGTTTACCACCTGTGTTCTCTTCTCGGAATTTTATGGTTTCAGGTCTTAGATTCAAGTCTTTAATCAATTTTGAGTTAATTTTTGTATCTGGTGTAAGATAGTAGTCTAGTTTCATTCTTTTGCATGTGGCTGTACAGTTTTCCCAGCATTGTATTGAAGAGACTATCCTTTTGTCATTATATGTTCTTGGCTCCTTTATCATAGATTAATTGTCCATGTATGTGTGGGTTTATTTCTGGGCTCTTGATTATGTTCCATTGATCTCAGTGTCTGTTTCTGTACAAATACCATACTGTTTTGATTACTATAGCTTTGTAGTATAGTTTTAAATCAGGGAGCCTGATACCTCCAACTTTATTGTTCTTTCTCAAGATTGCTTTGGCTATTCAGGATCTTTTGTGGTTCCATACACATTTTAGAATTATTTTAGTTCTGTGAAGTATGCCATTGGAATTTTGATAGGTATTGCATTGAATCTGTAGATTGCTTTGGGTATTATGGACATTTTAACAAAATTGATTTTTCTGATCTATGGACACAGAATATCTTTCCATCTGTTTGTGTCCTCTTGACACAAGTCTTTCACTTCCTTGGTTTAATTTATTCCTAGGTAATTTATTCTTTTTGATGCAAGTGTAAATGGTATTGTCATTCTTTTTTTAAGTTTTTATTTTTTTAACTAATCTCTACACCCAGTGCAGGGCTCGAACTTAACAACCCCGAGATCAAGTTGCATGCTGTACCCACCGAGCCAGCCAGATGCCCTGGTATTGTTTTAATTTCTCTTTCTGAGTCTTGTTATTGGTGTATAAAAATGCCACAGATAGGGGCACCTGGGTGGCTCAGTCGGTTAAGCATCTGCCTTTGGCTCAGGTTGCTTCTCCCTCTCCCACTTCCCCTGCTTGTGCTGTCTCTCTTGTCAAATAAAAACCTTTTTTAAAAAAATGCCACAGCTATCTGTATATTGATTTTGTATCCTACAACTAAATAATTGTTATTCTAATTGTATTTTTGGTAGATTCTTTATACATACATATATATATCTCTTTATACATACATACCTATACATATGTATGTATATATATTCATGTCATCTACAGATAGTGGCAGTTTTACTTCTTCCTTTCCAATTTGGATAACTTTTATCTTTTTCTTACCTAATTGCCATGGCTAGGACTTGCAATACTATGTTGAATAAAAGTGGCATCCTTGTCTTGTTCTTGATCATAGAGGAAAAGTTTTCAGTTTTCACCATTGAGTATGATGTTAGCTATATGATCCTCATATGTAACACTTTCTTATGAGGTACATTCCCTCTATACCCACTCTGTTGAGAGTTTTTATTATAAATAGATGTTGAATTTTGTCAAATGCTTTTTCTGCATCTATTGAGATCATATGATTTTTTTTTTTTTGTTAATGTGGGATATCACATTGATTTGCAGGTGTTGAACCATCCTTGCATCCCACTTGATCATGGTACATGATCCTTTTAATGTATTTTTGGACTTGGATTGCTAATATTTTGTTGACGATTTTTGTATCTATGTTCATCAAGGATATTGGTCTGTAATTTTCTTTTTTTGTGGTGTCCTTGTCTGGTTTTGGTGTAAGGGTAATACTGGCCTTGTAACATGTGTTTAGAATCTTTCCCTCCTCTTCAGTTTTTTTGAGGAGTTTGAGAAAGATCAGTATTAAATTTTTGAGTGTGTGGCAGAATTCTCCAGTGAAGCTGCCTGGTCCTGGACTTTTGTTTGTTGGGAGATTTTTCATTACTGCTCCATCCTCCTTACTACTAATCCATCTAGTCACATTTTCTATTTGTTCATGATACAATCTTGGCAGATTGTATGTTTCTAGGAATTTTAATTAACATATAATGTATTATTGGTTTCAGAGGTGGAGGTTAGTGATTCATCAGTCTTACATAATATCCAGTGCACATTTACATCACATGCCCTCCTTAATGTCCATCACCCAGTTACCCCATCTCTCCACCTCCCTCCCCTCCAGCAACCCTCTAGGAATTTTATTTTTAAGATTTTATTTGTTTGTCAGAGAGAGAGTTCAAGCAGGGGGAGTGGCAGGCAGAGGGAGAAGCAGGCTCCCCACTGAACAAGGAGCCCGATGCAGGACTTGATCCCAGGACCCTGGGATCATGACCTGAGCCCAAGGCAGACACTTAACTGAGCCACCCAGGTGTCCCTGTTTCTAGGAATTTATCCAAATTTTTTAACTAGTATCTTTATTTTTTAAGATTTTTTAAATTTATTTATTTATCTGAGAGAGAGAATGGGAGACAGAGAGCATGAGAGGGGGAGGATCAGAGGGAGAAGCAGACTCCCCGCTGAGCAGGAAGCCCGATGTGGGACTCGATCCCGGGACTCCAGGATCATGACCTGAGCCGAAGGCAGTTGCTTAACCAACTGAGCCACCCAGGCGCCCCCCAAATTTTTTTTTAGGTTGTCTGGTTTGTTGGTGTATAATTGTTCTCCCTACATTTTTAAGTGACTTTATCAGTAAATGAACAATGCCCAGAATTTTGGGAAAAAGTGGTAAATTGCTGTTGGTAGAGCTTTTAACAAGTAGACCTTCTTGCTATGAGGTCAGCATCTATGTTAGGTAGCAGACTTCAGAGGTCTGCGATCCAGTGGTCAGTTTCCTCATGTGTCAGGGAAATACTCATCAAAGATAATCTAAAGAAAGATGGATTTATTTTAAATTTTATTTTGATAATAACACTTTTGATTTTTTAGAGCTCATTATCCTCACAGCCAACTTATCTTCATCCAGGTCTTAATTGCAGCAACTATATCATGGTTTTTAAGAATGAACAGCTTTAAAGAGGGCACGTATTGAACGGAGCACTGGGTATTATACGCAAACAATGAATCATGGAACACTACATCAAAAACTAATGATGTAATATATGGTGATTAACATAACATAATAAAATAAAATTTAAAAAAAAGAATGAACAGCTTTAGAGTCTTTGAGAATGCTTATCCTTGAGGAGAAAAATCTTTTTTTTTTTTTTAAGATTTTATTTATTTATTTGACAGAGAGAGACATAGGGAGAGAGGGAACACAAGGAGGGAGGAGTGGGAGAGGGAGAAGCAGGCTTCCTGCGGAGCAGGGAGCGCGATGCGGGGCTTGATCCCAGGACCTGGGATCATGACCTGAGCTGAACGCTTAACAACTAAGCCCCCCAGGCACCCTGAGAAGAAAAATCTTGTACAGACAATACGGTGGGTTCCTTTTAAAAACGATATTGGTTGTGTGTGTGTCTTAGTATTACATTCACATGGTACAACCTACAAAACGACAGTAAAAAGGGAATCATTCTCCCTAAAGTCAAACCACCATTTCCAGTGTCTGTGGATCATTCCAGAGTATCCAGAGGTACTCTGCATAATCAAGCTTATGTATTTTTATAGGAATGATAGCATAATCTGCACACTCTCTTGCATCTTGCCTTTTTCCATGTGATATATGTGGAGATTGTTCCACATGAACACACACAGAGCTAATGCTTTTAATTTGAGCCACTATTTTATTATGAAGGTAAACAATGAATAACTTGAATTAATTGCCCCTTGTCCATGTTTTTATCCTTTGTCATGACATTGTTTTCCATGAGGACAAATAATTCAGGGTAGAACCAACTAACCCAATTTTCCCTCCAGATAAACCATTGCTCATATATATAGTAGTACATGTCCTTTAAATCATTTTTTATTTTTACAGATTTTCTTAAAAGACAAGTATTCAAGCCACATTTTTTTTCTTAACTAACCATTTTCCATCTCACTAAACACACTGAGGCATTTAGTTGTATAAACTCTTAACTTGACAAGTTCAGATGTGGCCCTATCTACTCCTTTTTCTCTACCTTTTTTCATTCCATCGTGTTTGCCAAAACTCGTATCATTCAGGAGTTTTTCAGTTATTTTACCAACAAGGGCCTTAAAAATTAACATGTCTTCACATACATCATCATGCATATGGCAAATAAAGGCCAATAGAATGACCACATCTTTAATACCCATGTTCTCAGCTAACTATCAAGAATCAGGTGAAGCTGAGTTTTGCAACCAGTTGTGTTCATGTGTCTGTTTATTTTTTATTTTTTTTTTTAAAGATTTTATTTATTTATTTGAGAGAGAGAGAATGAGAGACAGAGAGCATGAGAGGGAGGAGGGTCAGAGGGAGAAGCAGACTCCCTGCCGAGCAGGGAGCCCGATGCGGGACTCGATCCCAGGACTCCAGGATCATGAACTGAGCCGAAGGCAGTTGCTTAACCAACTGAGCCACCCAGGCACCCCATGTGTCTGTTTAAGTACAGCAAAAATATTTTTATTTCCAGCAATATAGATGATCTGATATTCTAAAAAACAAGCTCTATTAAACACCTAGGAATTCTTGATGAAATATAACAGTAAATAGGCAAGCTTACAGAAAGAGGGAAATCTTTAAGGACCAAAACCAAAGTAGTGGGGCCACTGCTTCCCTAAGGCCATTTGCCAACTGGTAAAAAATATAGCAGCTAACACTAAAGCTAATATTTATCAACTGATTATAATATGCCAGGCCCTCCTTTACCATACAAATACTAACTGTACAACAATCCCATAATGTGGGTACTATTATTAGCCCCTTCTTTCAGAGGAAGAAACAAATTCAAAGAAACACATTAGAATCTTGGCTAGTAACTACATGGGAGACAGGAGATAAAACCTTGAGCAAGATACGGAATTAAAAATCAGATTCCCACATATAGCTGAAATATTCAAAGAGCTATTCCCT